GGCCAAAACCCATCATTCTTTGTCTGCCAGAAGATTTAGTTTGGGTTTTATTTATTTATTTACTTATTTTTGCCATACTGCACTGAAACCATTTGTTTCTAAAATATCCAAAGAGCTTCCTGAAACTCCAGAAGTGCCGGGTGGGTTTGCTGTTCTCCTCAGGTTTTCTGTTAAAGTCATCCATGAAACTTTCATTGTCACTGACCTGTTATGGCTGCCTTCCAGGCTCCTTTGTGAGGGCTGGACTTGCAGAGTATATATCAGACATTCATCTGCTTTCAGCTTCACTACCTTGATGATCCTTGGGATCCCTTCCAACCCAAGCCATTCTACCTATGAGACAGGCCTGCCTGATATCTCTGTTCACAGATAAAACTCCTGGCAGCTTCTAAAGCCTCCAGACAGAGACATTGCAAAAAAAAAAAACAAACTTACAGACTCACTGGGCAAGTGTTTTTCATGAGATATGCTTATCTCCTACTGCATGTAATTTTAAATTGCTGAAATGGTCCTGCTTCATTAAGCCTCGTGTAGAGAAAATGGTGAACAGTAGTCACTTCTTAGTTCAAATCAGAGAGCGATTCTAAGAAGTTGGAAATGTTCCCCAAAAGAGGCTTGTCTATTTATTGTTAAATAATGAGGTTCTGGAGATGAGGTTGTCAACACTTGGATTTTGGTGCCTAAATAAATATATATATTAAGACCTCATGTGGTGTTATAAGGCTGTTCTCTGCCAGCTTTAGTATTGACAGTGCTAACTACCTGCATTGTCACATATTCCACTAACGTCAGTGCCAGAGACTTCAGATCTCACAAGATACGAAAGCAGAGTACAAGAAAGCCAATTAAGTTGAACCATTTTCAGAAAGAAGTTATTTGAGCCTGATTCTCCAGAACTTTTCAGTGCTGGAGCAAAACCAGACAAAATGGAGGGATAAAAAAAGAAGAAAAGGGATTCCACATACTGGATTACAACTTGAATGCGGGGTAATATGGCACAGCAGAACATTTCCTCTCAAAAATACACAGCATTGCCAAAAAAAATGGGATGTCAAACCCTTCTGTACCACCCTGCCAAGAAGCTGATGTCAGATTGAGTCGATGTCAAGCTTACTCAAAGTCAAGGAAAGGACAAAATGGAGAGGAATTGGTAATGAATTACAAGATGAAAGTTAACACCAGTCAGGGAGGTTGGCAAGGTAATAAATCTTATCAGCTTGATTTTACATAACTTTTTATTGAGTCACAAGTCTGAAATGTAACACCAAGTGCTGATGTTGTCTTCTTAAATACTGCAAGGCATCGTCTGAATGAAAGGTGATTGAGGGAGGTAATTTGTGCTTCACAGACATTGTGTCCACATCACAAGGAAATAAAAATGATTAATTGATATCTTGAAATAAAACAATGGATGAGGATGCCTCATTTGGTAGGGGAGCCTCAGGGGGATCTCATTTTTTTCCCCAGTGATGTTCAATAGCTGTTTCACATTATCTCAGACAAAACAGAAAAATCATTATTGATAAAACTTGCAAATCAGTCCAGAGCTCTCATTAAACAGACACATTTAGGAAGTGTCCTTTAAACCGAAATGAGGTTACACGGAATCATAGAATCACAGAGTCGTAGAGGATAGAAGAGACCTCTGGGGATCATCAAGTCCAACCCCCTGTTGGGCAGATTCCCTACAGCAAGTTCGTATACATTGAAACAAAGATTCACGTCGTACTTCCAAGGCAGGCATTTGTATTAAGGAAAGCAGAGCTGAGCTTGCAAACAGTGCTGCTGCAACTGTGCTCATGTGAACTACAGAATTTTAGAGGTCACGGTGAAGATGGGTGGATGGTTGGACAAGATGACCTTAGTGGTCTTTTCCAACCTTAATGATTCTATGGTTCTATAAGTGGAGAAAAACAGGTGGCAAAAGATGCCCTCGGCTCTATACTCACCCATGAAAAAATGACACTCATGGATACTATTTCTAATTTATCCAATACAAAGGGATAAGGAAAATTTAAAAAGATGAGTGTCCGAAATGTTATGAGGATGAAATCCTGGAAGCGTGCTCTATGGCAAAAGCCTCAAGGAGACATTTCTTTATTTTGTGCAGAGGATGACTAGGATGTGAGCTAATTATGGTGTGCAAATGCCTATGGGGAGGTGATATTTATTGTGCTTCCTGGCTTTTTGTTTCTCAGGCAAAAGCAGGGTGAGATCCCATTGCAGGAAGCTGAAGCCAGACACACTAGACATGAGGTGGATATTTTTAATGTTGATGGTAATTAACAGTTGGAATAACAGACATGGGAACCTGACAGATCCTCCAAGGCTGGGGCTTTTAATTAAGGCTCGGAGGACATGAAAAAAAAAAAAGCTAAAGCATTGCTATGCTGCTCTCCCTCAGTTTTCTCTATAATCAGTGGAGGTGGAGATTTTTCTGCAGGGAGTGTGGTAACAGAAGCCAAGCATTCCCTATTTCTGTTTGCTGGCTGCAGAGGGTTCCAGTGAGATCAGCTTTATTTGTCAGGACCCTCTGGGATAAGTGGTTACAAAATGCATTTTATTTCCAGCATGCTTGGCCAGGCTGCTTCCTGGAGAGCAGAGCAAGAGATTAGAGCACCCTCTTCTGCTCTAAACATTTAAAGCAAAGTGAGACAGCTGCAGCTCAACCTTCCCATGGGAAGTGCTATGGACGCATAAATACATACAGCTCCCACTCACTTCAGTGAACACAGAAGCACTGGGAATCTGATGGTATACAAATAGCAGCACAGCAGAGAAACACTGCATGATGTGTTTGCAGCAATGATGAGTTTAAGATGTGGGAAAAAAGCAAGGTTTGGAGGCATAGGTATGATCTTTTAACAATAATTCCAGGCAGACAAATTGACTTATTAACATTTTTTAATTATTCTTTTTTTTTTAGCTTCAGCTGTGTCATTGTTGGTACAGGTTGCCCAGGGTGGTGGTGGGGTCACCGTACCTGGAGGACTTCAAGAACTGAGGATGTGGGATCTTTCACTGGCAAAAAGCAGAAGGGAGAAAGGGATAGAGGTTTCAGCCCACTTGGCTATGGAAAAATAATGTTAACAGGGTAGGTATACAAATAAAAAGACCTCCATGTCAACTACTTTTTAATCTTTCATTGTTAGATGCCTAACTCAAAACATTTTCTGTTTCAACATAGGATGTTCTACTACTATAAACATCCCCTAGAAGTGAGCCTGTGATGGTACAGCAGGAGACTTTGAAACTGCTGACACTGAATTGAATTCACTGTTGCAATGCCACTGTCAGTACAAAAGTAGAGACAACACTGAATATGTTATATATCATAGAATCATAGAATGGCTTGGGTTGGAATGGACTTCAAGGATCATCAAGCTCCAACCCCCCTGCCACAGGCAGGGCTGCCAATCTCCATATCTAATATTAGACCAGGCTGCTCAGGGCCCCATCCAACCTGGCCTTGAACACCTATTTTGAGTTGGAAGGTACCATTAAAGGTCATCTCAAAATAGGTATACTTGCATATACATACACATGTAAATTAAACTTTTACTTTCACACTCCTAGATGCACAAACTTGGTATAATGTCATTCTTTGATCAAAATCTGGTGTGCAAGCTTAATTTGCTGGTTGCATACTAAGCAGCATCCTGAATACAGGCTTGAAGTTTGCATGCCTTTTGAGCACTTTCCAAATATGAAGCTCTTTGGTAATTCCCGATAACTGTATCAATCATCACTGAAGCAACTTTCTTAGAACCTTCCTGAATCATTGCAAGGAAGTGAATGAGCAGAAGGAAATGAATGGAGAAAGATGCTCTGCCCACTGCAGCTGAGTGATTTTGTGGCTTCCTATAATCATTAGTCATAAAGGGAGACCTACTACTGAACACATACCAAGGAGATGTATGTAATTTATACGGCTTACTTGAAGTACTGCTGAAGGGTTGAGTTAAAAATGGCTCCTTCTAGACAAAGTGCTGGTCCTATAACCTCAGCTAAATTATTGTAAGGGGCTCTGTACTGTAGCTATGGCAGGTGTGGCAATGTTCAATGTCTCTTCAGTTTGACAGTTTCATTGCCAGGTCCATTGAGGAAGGAATGAGTCTGCAGGGGGTTACTGAAGGGAGCTGCAGGGAGAACCCTATAAGGTCTGGGAAATAATCAATAATCTTTTGCTGCGAATGTAAAAAGCTCTGTGTGTGTCATGAGGGTACCAAAGCAAACAAAAACATGAAACTGTAAAACATCAGTAGTATGGTGGAGCCCAAAAGCAAATATTCCACTTAACCCAGACCTGAAATAGCTCTTAGCTCTGCTGCTTTCAGAGCACAGGCAGAGCTATCACTGCTGTGGTGCACAGAGGCTCAGCTGTTCTGCAATGGGCAGATCTCAGGAGATAATCCCACTAATCCAAGGGCAGAGCTTTAAGATGCCATCCCTACAATCGCTGAGTTAGATATGAGTAAGTCTTTGCACAGAGACTGTTTTGAGGGAGACAGCTTGGGAGTTCTCTTCACTGAGGGACCAAGATCTTGGGATGATGCATCTGAAGTCATGAAACCATGGAGGAGAAGCATGTTCCTGACCAAAGGGGGCACAGGAAACTATTGACACCACATGGAGCATCCAAGCAGAAGTGTCCCATGAAAACCACGAGCTGAAGAAGGTGAGCACCCAAGCACATTTACAGGGAAAACTGGCCACACATTGCCTCTGCCCGGGGCAGGAATCATGCCCAAGGAGAGCCATCACCATCAGTAAGAAGCTGCTCTGCTCCTTGGTGGCTCTTTCTGGAGACCTCTCCCCATAGGGGACCTCTGGATGTATTTATAGCATCTTCTGCACTGCAGAGCTCTGCATAGCATCTCTTGGAAGCTGGGGATCCAGGATAAAAATACTTCTCCAGTAATGAACAGGTAGGGTGGTAAGGGACAAGCTACTTTTAGAGTACAAAGCTGTTTGGCTCAGCAAATTTTCTAAGCCCTGGGATGACACTGTCAGTGGTCGATGGAGAAACTGTTGTGGGTTTCAGATTTCTGTGCCTGGATGTGAAAGGTAAGGTTTTTACTCCCAACAAACATCCAGCTCTGGGTCTTTAACCAAGAGTATTTTATGCCAAGAGTGAGCACAAGGCTTTTGCCCTGGCAGTTGTTCAGCATTTTTATCTATATCAAGTCATAACCCTACTTTTCCCTTGTTTTGTGATTACCTGTTGATGCCTCTTTCATTTTGCCAAGACTCTGGCAAGTGAGACAAGTTTGTCCTTGAAAATCTTTTTCAGAAAGTTTTAATATCTTATGCATTTATATATACATCTGTAAGTACATGCATATATGGATCAGTACGTGTGTGTATGTATTTATGTGTATGTGGCCCCTAGCATATGTTCAAAACTCACTGAGGATTTGGGATTGGCAAAAGGTGCTGGCTCAGTGCATTTCACCTTCTTGTGTTCTTACCTGTGTGTTTATCTGTGTGATTTGAGACATCCTTCCAAATGGGAAGGATATCTGGGTTGTGTTTTCTGCTGCAAGCAGAGTCTCTCTTCACTGGCTCATTTCAAAATATATACCAAAATATTTTAGAACATTTTTATTAAGTGTGCAGTTCAGGACTATGGGAAGTTAAATTAATAATTTGTATGGTTGTCTGTGTGGTACACTGGCTTTTTGGGTGCTTGTCCATGAGTTTATGCAGGTTCTTGGCACCTCACACTCTTGCACCTTGAGAATTGTTGAGTAATTTGGACTGATTCAGCTGTATCTACATGCACTGAAGAAATTTGTATGCAGGAAAGCAAACGTAATCTGCTTTTCTTCCAGCAGCTGGTATTGCTTTGCTTGGCTTCCTGAAGAACCCAGTTTAAGTCTCCCCATTTGTAAAGCAATGCCCTTTCTCCTACTGCGTTCCAACAGCTTGCTCTGGGGGCTGTCACAGCACACTGAATTGCATCACATCAATAATGAGAATCGAAGGAAGCCATTTTTCCATGCTGTCTGGGGGGTACTGTTGGGAATAACCATACTTACCTCCTCAGCACATTGCTTTGTTTTTAAAATCGGACTGCTTGGACCCTGGAACTGTGATCCTTTCTTTTCCAAAGCCTTCCCCCATGCTGCTGCCAGGTTAGCAGTAGAACGAATAAGCAAAGACCCTTCAATAGATCTTGGCCAGAGGTTGGATTATGTGGTCCTGCAAGAAGAGTGTGAGACATCAAGAGCTTTGGTTAGATTCATTGACTTTGGAAAGACTTTCTCAGCTTTCATAGGACCTTTGAACCCTGGCTTCTGTGAAGAGGCTACATATTTAGTGGAAAACTGGAATAAAGCCATCTTCTCATGGATGTGCATCAACTACAAACTGGATTCTACCACCCACCACCCTGCGTTTGCCAGAACCCTGCCTTCTCCAACCCGAGTTTTGTTTACAATAATGAAATATTTTCAGTTGGCCCATGTTGGCATCATTGCTTCCAATCAGGCAGTTTGGATGGACACATCCAACAAGTTAGCGAGCGCACTCAGGAACCAGGGGCTGCCTGTAGGCATTGTTACATCCATGGGTAAGGGAGAAAAAGGCATCGAAGACACTTGGAACAGGATCAAAAAAGTTAGTGGCATTAAAAGTAAGTATTTCAAGTCCTTTTTTTATTTATTGTTATACTTCTTTCACCATTGTTATCCAGTGGGCATAGCCTAGAGAATGAAATTTTGAGGCCAAGTAGAATTTTATCTAAACTTCACAGAGGCAGAGCTTCAGGTGAAAGAATGCTGGGCATCTTGTGTTTGATGGGGATAGAGTAAAATGGTCCTCTACACCATCAAATTATGGGTAGTACTTAATATAGATGGATATCTGTACATGACCCTATCAAGTGTAAAGAAGGGTTTGTAGGAAAGCTTTATATTGTTAATGTTTTTGACTATGGATTATCAGAAATCTCATGCTTTGGAAATGCTGTGTCCTTGGTACCAGTGTTCAGTGAGGTATCAGAGGTGAAATCCAGTGTTACACTCACTAGCAGCAATAAAAGAGTCTTTGGTATAACACCAGTATGGTAGAATCATCTGTTTTCTCTTGAGAAAAGTGAGTAAAAGTTTTCTTGGCTCAAAGCCTCTTTAGGAGGTCTGCAATGCAGCTCCAGTCCTGGTTGTATACCTTTGTAACTAGCTCTGCAAATCCAGATGATGTTGCATTTTAGCTGTTTCAGCTAAGAAGGGCAGCAAGGTGCTGTCTAACTTGAAGTGTTATGAGAGTTCAAATCTGTGCTGGAAACCAAATCCACCTTGGATGAGTTAATCTCATCACCCTCACAACACTCTATGTGAGTTAGGGATGATGGATTGCTTTCATAACCATTGGAAGAAGTAAGTTCCACTTCAAAGATGATTCATCTGACCAGTTTATACTCCCTGAAATAGTACGTGATAAATCTCTGCCTAGACATATCTATTTATTTCCTGTAATTCAGACACCAGGGGGGAATAGAAGTCTCCTCTTCGGTGATCTCCAGAAGTCCCTGGTTGTGGTGCTGGGCACCGCACTCTGGGTGGCTCTGCTGGAAATGTTCCTGGGCACAGGTTAGACCAGAAGGACCCAGAGGTTCTTCCAGCCTCAGCCTCTCTGTGATGCTGTGCTAGAGCCAGTGAGTACTTTGAAAATCCCATTACACAGATAGGTATTTCACCAGACATTGGGCCATTGACACCACGTCATAGAGTCATAGAATCATAGAATGGCCTGGGTTGAAAAGGACTACAATGCTCATCCAGTTCCAACCCCCTGCTATGTGCAGGGTTGCCAACCAGCAGACCAGGCTGCCCAGAGCCACATCCAGCCTGGCCTTGAATGCCTGCAGGGATGGGGCATCCACAGCCTCCTTGGGCAACCTGTGCCAGTGCCTCACCACCCTCTGTGTGTGAAAAACTTCCTCCTAATATTTAACCTAAACCTCCCCGTCTCAGTTTAAGATCATCTCCCCTTGTCCTATCACTATCCACCCTCATAAACAGCCATTCCCCCTTCTGTTTATATGCTCCCTGTCATTTTGTGCAGACAAAAATGTAGACTCTGGTATGGTCTGCTATGAACCAGTTGTAAAACAAGACAGTATCCAATCGAAAAGCCATATAGATAGTGGCAGGATCAATGGATAGAGCCTGGGCACTGCTGATGACTGTGTGGACTATGTCACCTCAGGGCACATAAAGAGAAAGATCAGGTCTCAGTCAATGACAGCAGAGGGCCATCATTACACTGCATGTTATCCCATGGCTCAAGTCTGTCAAAATTTCTCTGCAGTCATCCTTCTGTATGACTCCAGGAACAGGTAATGCTCACAGCCTCATTTGCTAGATGTTGCAGACGTGCAGAGATCAAACAAGATGAGCATAATTCCCAACTTCTTTGGCTGATTATGTGGGTAGGGGACCATTAGGATACAGAAGTTCAGACAGCTCTTTCACTGGAGGGAGCTATTTAATTTTGAAAAGACCAAATGGATTAACAACAATGTCTGTGATCCTTATGTTTCAGTTATCCTTCTGTGCATGCATTCTGTGCTCATTGGAGGGGAGGAACAGGCTGCCTTACTCAAAAAAGCACAGGAAATGGGACTAACGGATGGAAGATACATCTTCATTCCATATGACACTTTACTTTACAGCCTTCCTTACCCAAACAACTCATTCTATGTCCTCGACAATGACAGAAAGCTCCAGGAAGCTTATGATGCTGTGCTGACCATCACACTGGAGTCTGGAAACTGGACATTTTATGATGCATTCAGGGAAGCTAAAGAAAATGGTGAAATAGCCAGTGAGATAGAAGATACACAGGTAAACATTCTTTTTCTTGGACTTCAATAGGATGTGGTAATAGAACATATGGGATAGGCAGTAGCTACATAGAAAGGATAGTCGAGAGACAGCCCAGATTTTACGAGCTTGTATTTTGAGAAAAATATGGTGAAGGTTGGATGTAAACTGCGTTTGCTTTGAAAATAAAATTCTATTCATTGACTGGCAGTCAGTTAGTTCAACTGTAGCACCATGATGGGAATTTAAGAGAAAGGATTGTCTCTGAGGCTCTCAGATTAGTTTTGCTACATGCTGACTGCAGTTAACTCAAGATGAAGCAATCTCTCTTGAAGTAGATAAAGTCTGTGGATATTTTAAGGCACCAGAAAAGAAGCCCATATGCCTGATAATTTGTGTGAATGCAACAACACGATGCATTTAGATGGAAATGATTCATATCATGGAAATCAATTAATATCATTGCTGCCTCGTTCTTCTTAGCCTTTGTAAGATGAGAGGCAATGGCCTTAAGTTGCACCAGGGAAGTTTCAGGTTGGATATTAGGAAAAATTTCTTCTCAGAAAGAGTGGTAACAGATTGGCACAGGCTGCCCAGGAAGGTGGTGGAGTCACCATCCCTGGAGGTGTTCCAGAACTGTGGAGATGTGGCACTGAGGGGCATAGTCATTGGGCATGGTGGGGATGGGTTGGGGTTGGTCTAGGTGATACCACAGGTCTTTACCAACCTAAGTGATTCTATGAATCTAAAGTGAAAGTTATGTTTCTTAACATTTTAGGACAACTATTTCAAAGTCTATCTAAGAAAAGACAGTCAGATTCTACCTTGTAGACTTCAGAAGGACAATTGGAGAATCTGTCATGCTGATGAGATGCTGGATTCAGCTGTGCTCATCTTCAAATCTATGATCTTTAAAAAACTGTAAGCAATTTTAAGGCACAGTTTATCAGATCTGCATGGATGTCTACTTCAGAAGGAGATGGTTCATGCCTCAAAAGCATCCATTTCTTTTCCTTCTTTGTAATAGGAGCCCAGGTTAACCATATTGAGTGTAGGATTCTTCACTGTAGGTGAAATACCCAAGTCCTCTAATATATCCTCCTAGCTATCAGTCTGAGATTTCATATGTCAAATCTGGAGAACAAAACCAGGTGTCAATCCTTGAGTTTACAGCTAAGGCAATGTGACATCTTTTGATGCAAATGTCAAACTAGAGAATGACAGCACTGTATTGTGACCTTAATTTCTCCTCTAACTTCAGGTTTCTCCACTCTTTGGGACAATCTATGATGCCATTTACTTCATGGCACTGGCAATAAACAATGCTCGAAGGAAAGGAGTCTGGATCTCAGGAGCTAATATAACAGAGTACACAAGAAATGTCAGTTTCCATGGATTTAGCCACTTTGTAGAGACAGACAGCTGTGGGAAGTGGCTGTGCAACTATGTGGTACTAGACACAGATGGTCATGGGAGCCAGCTCTCCCCAACTCACTTGCTGGACATGTCTTCAGAGTCTGTCAAACCCCTAGGCAAGGACATTCACTTTCCAAGTGGAACCCCACCAAAGAAAGACTGCAGCTGTTGGTTTGATCCAGATGTTCTCTGCTCTGGAGGTAAGAAAAACAAAGTAGTATGGTCAAATGGCTCATACCTCTTATTTATTTCATCTTCTCTCTTGCTCAGAGCGATTGCCATGTAAATTAGATCTCCTCAAAGAGGAAACTCTAAATCCAAGAAATCCACATGAATCTGACTGGTTATCATGCTAACTGGCAATCCTATGCAGAGATCCTACTATTGATCTACAAGACTCCCTTATTGTTTTTAAGTCAATAATGTTGTTGCCATTCTTGTGTGCTTGTGAGAGTTTTCCAGATTTAACAATCAACATCTATCAATTTGACAGCAAGTAATGTATGTCAGAATAGCAATCAATATATACTAGCAGCTCAACCCAGCACTCTGTCCTTGTCCTTCTGAGGGACAAAGTACTAAAAAAATTTGTGTTACGACGGCCTTCTTAGGCTGCACATCTGCAGATGCTCTCATCATTACCCCTGGCTAACCCCAGCTTCCTTATGCAGTTTGGTAAGTGGTTGGAAGAGCTCACCTTATCAAAAAAAAGAAAATAGTCATTACTCAAAATAAATTGATTTAAAGTAGGCAGCAGAAATGATCACTGAAGACAAGAGCAGAAAAATCTTTCCAGGTTTGCTGGACTGGGTACTGGCTTTATTTATTGTTTTTAATTTGAGGCATTTTTTAATTAACGGGGAAATAACTCTCAGGGGAGGATACTTAGCCTCCACTTAACATATTTATTTATAATAACATACATTAACTCCTGCTCTTCTGGGATATGACTTAGACAAACTCAACCACTTCTGCATAATATTTCATTCAGCAGCTGAGAAAAATGTTCCTCTTGGTTCAGCCATAGCTGGTTTAAATCACAGAATCATAGTCATAGGACATCCTGAGTTGGAAGGGACTCATAAGGATCACTGAGTCCAGCTCCTACCAGTGTAACTTCATCGGAATTGGAGATGTACTGATCTTACAGCTGCTGATAACCTACAGAAGAGGCAAATCCAGTGCTACCATATATCTCTCATTGTCTCTTGGAACAGTATAGCAATTCAGATTCTCTCTGCAGTCCACAGAAAAATCCCATTGATTTTTAGAGAGATCAAATTCCACATTCGCACCTTTACAAAAGTATAAACCTCTATGCATTGTCAGTGAAGTGGTGATTTATTATTATGCCTAATGTTTCAGAGAGCAAATTTTGTGACTGGAATTGAACCCCGGTCCCAGTCTGTCTTCTGTATAGTTTTAGGGCTGGAGGAGGTGTGGATGTGAAGCTGCCAGTGTGATAAGAGAGGGAGAGGAGGTCTGGATCATTCCCAGGTAGCTTCTGAAGATTGGATGTTTGGAGAAAAATTCTTCTCAGAAAGAGTAGTAATACATTGAAACAGGCTGCCCGGGGAAGTCATGGAATCACTGTCCTTGGAGGTATTCAAGTAATGTGGAGATATGGCACCCAAGGACACGGTTTTGCAGGCATGATGGGAAATGGGCTGGAGTTGGACTTGATCTTGGTCTTTTCCAACCTTAATGATTCTTTGATTCACACATCCCGATCCTTCTGGATCAGAGGCATGTCTATGGCAGCCCCTTTGTCTCCCAGGATAAATGCCACCAGGCCTGCCTGGTGGGATCTTCCTCAGTCTCATACTCAAGGTCAGAGAAAGCTTTCCTGGAGAAAGCTGGCCTGGTTTTTACTGCATACTGGCGAGTGAAATTTTGGTCTACACCTGTATACAGTCTGTAAGGTCCTGAAATGGTTATGTAGCATTCACTTTCTATAGCACCTGTATTTCTTCACAGAGGGAGGTGCATTGGTACAGTTCCAGGCTGGAAGATGGAAGCAAAGTGACTTGTTTGCATGATTACAATCAGGGACTGGAGCCATGGGCTGAAGCAGAAAGTGAGTCCAAATCTGGAAGGAAAATTATACCAATTTTCACGCAGCTTTCACTGGGAAGCTCTGTCTCAGTGCTCCCAAAGTGGGCTGTAATTTAGATGCAAGAGAGACTTAGAGTCATGAACTTTTTATCAACCCAAACTTGTGCATGCTTGTTTGTGTTGAAGGATCTCTGAACACAGACAGGATAAAATAAAAACAAATAGAAGGCAGAAGAGGGAAAGACAGCAAACACTTCCCACTGGAATTGAGCTCATCCGTTCATGTCAGCTTCCCTTAGCACTCTAGCAAAGCAACTCACGAGCAAACTGTCTCCAGTACTTTCTGTCAATGAGCCCATTGAGGAAGAATTCAGCCTTCTCTCCCTTCTCTCTTCTCTCTGAAAAATCCCAGATGGACTGATGGCTCACACTGGAGGTCAGTTTGGTACCACATGATAAAGCTTTTTCAGTGGTTCAGTTCCTGAAGAGAATAGGGTCAAATGTTCAAAAGTTATGAACTTTGCAGAAGCTGTCTCTAAAGCATATCTCTTCCTTGTGAGTCTGTATTTAATCAATGAAAAACTGGGGCTCTGGATCTGGTATAGAAAAAAAAGTGCATGTAAGTATATAACTAAAATAGTTTCATGCAGATAAAATCAGCATTTGTATATCCATAAATTAACAACAAATAAGGATTATTTTCTAACATTCCTCTAGGTGAATATTTGACTTTGCAGTCTAATGGTCTAATGTTGGCAATTTTAATGCTATTAACTAAATCAAAGAGGTTTTCTAATCCACTGATTTATTCTTTTTTTCACATCTCTTTGCGCAGGGATTGAGCCTACAATCATGATCTTGGGAGCAATGCTGGTATTTGCCCTGGTGCTGTGTGCTGTGGGCCTGGCTTATCTCATCAGGTGAGAACTGCAGAACATTGTTGATTCAGTGCCAGTTTTACTTTCTGTGGGAGGCTTACACCAGCACTTTGGAGCATGTGTTGAAGGTTTGATTGTGGTCTTTGCTCTCCAGAGAAACATCTCTTCAGTTTATTGATTGTGGCTTGAACAGAGTGGGCATTGGTTCTCCAGCCTCAGGAGGAGCCATTTCACACTTAGTCCAGTCCAGATTGCTGTCAGCTGCTAGAAGGATTAACTGGATGATAGCTTTGATGCATAAGGAAGATTACAAACACTTTGGAAGTGCGAAGTATGCCGTAGGAAAACAATACAATATAATACAATAAGAATCTGCCTTGAGAACATCAGGGTGGTGATGGAGTGTGCTGCCATATTAAATGCTTTTTTTCATGCTCCAGATCATTCTTCCCTTCTTTTCTGCCCCTAATATGATTAATCGATTATGATTATGTACAAAACACAGGTTGATTGATCCTTTGTCCTTTGTGTTAAAGAGAGGCTCCCTCTAGAGAGGATTTGGACCAATTAATTAGAATACATTTTTATTATCAATCCAATTCATTTCCTATTATGAGATGAAGCCCTGTTTCCTGGTCACTCACGTTTCATACATATTGGTTGGAGCATGAGATTTGCTCTGAAGCAAAAAAAACAGTAATCAGTTCCACCAGTTGCATAAATCACACTTGTGTCCCAGCTTTATGTCCAAGGTGGAAGTGAGCCAGCGTGGAATTGTTGGGTTGCTCCTTGGCAAGGACAGTGTAGCCATAAACCAATGTAGTCCTCCATTCCAAATCCTCCCATGGGGGAATCTGTCTGTCTGTCGGACAGATTGGTGACATTTACGTGGCACAAGACTGAAATTAGAAGGCGTATACTCAGCAGCAATGTGTTTAACAGAGCAAGGCTCCCATATTATCCCATCCAGCCCTGCCTGGCAGATAATCCCCAGAGACATTTTCTCTTCACTCCTGAATCATCCCTCCAAACCTAGATGATTATAAGGCCACCCAACAAGCACCACCCCAACAGCTCCACTGCCTATGACGCACAGCTGCTTCTGGTTTGTTGGCCACCAGCCTCTGCAATTACACAAATAAAAGGCAATTTTTCTGCCTACTCTATGTCTAAGCTGTTCTGCAAGTACCAGACTGTGCCTGGGAAGGCTTAGTCGTGAGTAAAGATGTATGACCATCTGCAGAGGGAAATAAAATGTCTAGCATGACTCAGACAGTGATTTATGTCAGAGAAGGGCATGTCTGGGACTAAATTTAAACCACAGCATGGACTGAGTTCATAAGGGGGAGCACTGGTCTAAGCTCTGCCAGGGATCTGCTGCATGACCCTACATGAGTCACTCCGCTCTCTGTGCTCTGCTGTGGGAAGCAGAGTGCTTTCCTCCATGCTTGGGGGAGAGGATGTGAATGATGGAGCAAGGTTTTCAGGAGGACAGCTGAAGGGTACATGAATGATGAGCCTTTTGTGTGGAGCTGACTTGGGTGGCTTGGAACAAAGCACTTAGAGAAAGGTGATAATAAACAAGCCAAAGTGATGTAGATGTATGGGTGAACTCTGAACTCCAAAAAGCTGTGCTATTCTAAAATGTCCAGAGTGATGCATGCAATGAGAAAGTAAATCGTTGCGATCTGTGGGTATTTTACAAAATGAATCCTTCCACAATATGGTTAGTAAGAGGAATCCTGCAGCCAAGAGGATCAAATATGCTGTTTGGGAATAGTTTTAGTTGTCTTAGCAGATGATCAAATATTTGCTGGAGCATTAACAGAGTTCTCTGAACAAAAAAAATGTGATAACGGGAGCAATGGGATGCTTTCCTTTTCTTTCTCTGAAGGTGCTTGATGAATTTTTTACTGTCTTATAGATAGTATGTTTTGTGCTCAGTGTTAGACCAGGCCTTCAATGAAAGACTGGGTTCAAAAAAACAGTGTGTGACTTCAGCCTCTTTCCTGGGTCTTTAAAATGTCCGTGTGGTGGGTATTTGCATCAAATGAATCCCAGTGAAACTCTGAGATATTTAATATTGCTTTGTGCAAGCCTATCTGAACTAGCCCATGATCATACAGTCCTTACCAGTGTGTCCTTTCTTGCTGTGATTTTTTCTGCCTTGTCAATTCTAGAGAACCAAGTAGCAGATAGTACCTGATAAGTGCATTGAATTGTCTGTCTTCTCTGTGGCAATTTTGCAAATCTAGAAGTCTATAAAGGAGTCCAGAGTCATCTCTTGGAAAACAGCAGCATCCTGGGGATGTGCCAAAAGCACATTTGTCCTGTGCTGCACAGTAGGCATCCTGTCTGGCTCAGATCCTGCAAGTAGATCTGAATCAGCAGTCTTCTGCTTTATCTAATCACTAATGACGGAGAAGAAAAGCACTGTCTCAGCAATGCTACTTCCAAGACCTTCACGCTGCATTGTCATGCACAGCAAACTGCTCATCCCTTCTAGCCTTTCCTTCTGTATGTTTCTTTACAGGGCAGATAGACTGGTCCATTAAAACCTAATATTCTCTCCTGATGGACAATGAAAATGAAAATTAAGCAAAACAAATTATGCACTGCATATACATCCAGTTTGCACTTGAATCACAGAATGGCTTGGGTTGGAAGAGATCTCAAAGCCCACCCAGTTCCAACCCCCACACTCCTGGCACAGACTACTCCTTCCCACAGCTGCTCCTTGACATGGGCTCCCCTCTCAGGTGATTCCTTGTTTCAGCTTGGAATGCATCCACCCCAGAGCCAAGCACCTCACAGAAAAGGCCATTAGTGGCACTATGACTTGTAAGTGGTATTGACTACCACTTGTAAGCAGGCTGTACACTTGTGAGCAGATTGACTCAAACTGTCTGTTTGTGATGAGATGCTTTGGGATTACAGCTTTGACTGTCTGTGATTTGGGCAGCCCTTGTTGCATTAGCGGAAGGATTTCAGCCAAGTCAGGTCATCATGCACGCACCCATGTCCAGCCCTGAGCCACCATGCTGCATATTCCCTGTACTACAATGAGGCCAGATATCCCTGGAGGCATTGAAGACCAGGTTGGATGGGGCCCTGGGAAGCCTAATTTAGCAGTTGGCAACTCTGTTCATGGAGGGGAGTTGAAACTTGATGTTCTCTGAGGTTCTTTCTTTGATTCTATGATTCAGTATTGTAAATTACTTACCTAGCTAAAAGTCATAACTGTGGCTCTCCAAATCTCCCAGGCATAGCATCCTGAACAGCCAGTTATTCAGGGGTCCTAACAAGATAATACTGACACTGGAGGACCTCATCTTCATTAACCCAGAGCTGCATAAAAAGGTAAGTCTGTCCACACATGCAATTGATCTGGAAGGACATTCAAAGATAGGTTTGCTTGTAGTACATTCATACCCATTTCTCTATGCTTCATTTCCCCCTTCATGTCGAACAGTTTCCCATATGCTGAGTGGTTTTGAATTTCAGGTTAGGTGCACCCAAAAAAACAAAATCAAAATCAAAGCCATTATATTGTAAAATAGTACCCTTGATTATGTTCATTCTAGTAGCTGGGGCTTATTATTTGTTCCTAGGGTTGGAAAGTATAACACTGCTTATATCCACATAGATAAACCACCTCACTACTTAAAATGTTTGCAACCAAACTACTTACTGGGAATGCCTCCTGGATTGTATTGGCTGGCTCCTTTCAGCTCTGAGTATTGTTAGGGGGAGTGCTATTTGGCACAGGCCAGACCTATGCCAGTCATTTGGACTGCTGTGAGGCCATCTCACTCCTTGGGCTGATGGCACAGTTACAGGCCTCTTGTCAATGCCAAAGGAGAAATTATCCAGAGGCCAGCTCAGAATGAAACCTCTCTCCTCACTTCCATCACCTAAAGCATTGCTGTAGTGTTTCCAGATACTACTTACGAGTATTTCAGAGGTGCTATGGAGAGTTTGGGAGTGCAGGAAACCTTACTAGCATGGTGACATGAATGTCCTGGGCAGAGCTGGAGTGGAGTTTTACCTCTAGAGGTGTTAACTGTCTTCCACCTGCCTTCCTTGCATCCAGAGACTAACACTGGACAGTTTGACTGATGCTAACAGTGTAGCTGAAATCAGAAGCCAGAAATCCACAATCCGCTCTGGTTCTTTGAAAAGCACCGCTGCCACCCACGAAACCTCCAATGTGGCTTTGTATGAGGTAGGTATGGACACAGTCAACAATCGACCACTTTGGTTTACTGGGCTATTTAAGTGGGAAAGTCTTCAGCCACAGTACTGTAGATGCCAGGGTATGGGTGCTGCTGATGGCCCAAGAGGGTGATGAAATGTCTTCATCTCTGGAGACATTCAAGATCAGTCTAACTGGGGCTCTGAGCATCTGCTTGAGCTGTAGACATCCCTGTCACTGCAGGGAAGTTAGACCAGATGACTTTAAAGGTCCTTTACAACTCAAATAATTCTATGATTCTACAGTAAGCTTCTCCCAAGCATGGAGCTACCAGTGTTTGAGGTGACACACTGACTCTTGTAGTTATGTGTGGTTGAAGTATTCAACAGGCAGCATCTCTGTTAATACATAGCGTTGCCAAGTCTTGTCTTTATTGAGATGTCACCACCTAAAGGCACTGTGAAGAAGCTTTCTTAGAAGACAAGTGGCGACATCTCTAATAAGGACCTTTCTTGCAAGACACAATCCAAATATTTTATCCACTTTTAAAGTCAAGGATCTGGAATTCAAACCTAGGTGTCAATGTTAACTGTTGCTCAGAGACTTGCTCTGTCATTCACCCACCTGTATTGTGGACAGGGAGACTGGGTATGGCTGAAAAAATTTGAGACGGGAGCAATTCACCACCTGCGACAAAGCTCTACCAGCATCCTGAGGAAGGTAGGGACGGGGGCTGCCTGGGCATGTGGAGAGAAGGTTGTTTGGGGCAGGAGGGATGGGTTTTGTAATGGAAGAGAGATTTTATTCTCTTTGTTTCCCTTTTATATCTGTTGAATCATATTGCACGACTGTCACTAATTCTCTCTTGGTTAAACCTATTGGAATGGAGAGAGTAGGATTGCATCTCACAAACATGACCATGGCCAGTGAGTGGCAAACCCCACCCTGGGCCTGATACTTCAGAGCTGGTGCAACATTGAGGGTATAAAAAGTCCTCCAAGTAAAGTTGTCTGCAAAGGCAGAGTGGTCTGGGGGAAATCATCCCTCTCTGTATCAGGGCAGGGTCATTTACTGGTAACTATTTTATGTGTTGTTTGTTGACTACCTAACAGTGCACAGATACAGTGGGATTTGCTATGTATTTCCAGCTAAGATTCTCTTTAGAAGTTCAGTCTTGCAACTTATTGACTAACAAGCAAACACATTTGTTTTCCATATTCAAGGCCATTAGCTGTTGGCAACTACTGTTAACACAGGAGTAGCATTATAGAAACATAGCAAATTTACCAGGGCATGTAGCTGATGTCACCATTGATGGATGACTTTGGGTATTCTAGGCATTGCTTTCCAGATCAAACCTGAGCTGAAGCAAGTCCCCATATGCTGAACTCAATTTATCACAGCTAAGTCATTCTGTCCTGGTGACAGGTCCAGGTTGACTAGAGAAAAACGAGTTACTGTTCAGCTTACTTTCGCCATCTTGCTTTCTTTGTCTTAGTGGTTAGATTAGAATGAGCAAAGATTTAAATAGACAAAAGCAAGTGGCAAAATGTTTGTGCCAGAGGAGGTTCAGGTTGGATGTTTGGAAAAATTTATCCTATGAAACAGTGGCAGTGCATTGGCACAGGCTGCTCAGGGAGGTGGTGGAGTCACCGCCCTGGAGGTGTTCATGAACCATGGAGATGTGGGACTGAGGGATGTGGTCAGTGGGCACGGTGGGGATGGGTTGGGGTTGGACTTGGTCATCACAGAGGTCTTTCCAACCTTAATGATTCTATGATTCTATGATCCTGGTGTGAAAGGCTGTTTGGAAGCATAGGAATGGTAAGAGCTCATGGTAATTCTAAGCAGATGTCTAGCTGGCTTGGTCTCCTGTGATTCACTGTTTTGTTTCAGATGAAAGATCTACGTCATGAAAATGTGAATCTGTTCCTGGGATTTTTCTCTGACTGTGGCATCTTTGCCATAGTGACAGAGTACTGTTCCCGAGGAAGCCTGGAAGACTTGCTGAAAAATGAAGATATGAAACTGGATTGGATGTTCAAGTCCTCCCTCCTGATGGATCTAATTAAAGTAAATCCATTGCTCCTGCTGAACCCCGATCTGCATGTGATTTTTGTATTACCATAGCTATTTAATCCAGGACTGTGGGATTCTCAGACTAATGTAATGCAGGGAAAGCCAATATGAATATAATTATATTGTATACGCTGGCCTTTAATGGAAACCTCTTATTCTTATTTTGTTACATCCACTCAACAGGATGAGAGGTTAGAACTACCCATCAAGCTGGAACTGATCGCCTGGAACCATTAATCTGATGACATAATCCTCCTTCCTGAAGTCCCTCTCTTGACATAAATCAGAAATGCTTCCAGCATGGAGCCAAACCATAGAAATCTCCTGTCATATGATGGCTACATGCATAGTCACTTTGCAGGAGTGCTCGCTCATTTCCAGATACATCCCATGTGTTTACATCCCATTAAAGTGAGCTGGGGTCATGGGAAGGTGGTTTGCAGAGGGTTTACTTGCAGAACCATGCATGAACAATGTGATCTTCCTCCTTGAGGATCCTTGGTCGTGGCATCCATCTCTCATTGCCTCTGTTGCTTCTCTTGACCTAATAATCATTGAGTATCACTTGTGTTTACCTTCTTAACTTCATCCAAGAGTACAGCTCCTGGGCACAATTGCTCCTAAGGCTACAAAGGAGGAGGCAGCTAACTCATAAAGGTGCTAGTGCTTTCCACTATTACAGCTAACTCAAATTCTTATTTCTAATCAATTTTTAAAACTTTTCCATTTTTTCTTGGGCTGATTAATGCTGGTTGTGTGGTTTGGATCATTCCAGAGTGTGGTACCTGAACCAACTTTTGCATTTGCCATAAAGCCAGTGCTGTATTTGATGCTCTCCCAGGTGACTGGTTGACTCAGTGTCTCTGAATCCTAATTGCTAATACAATCTCAAGGAACTGCCTCAGTCTCTTCTGTATTTCATAGGGAATCAGGTATCTGCACCATCGAGATTTTGCCCACGGACGTCTGAAGTCTCGTAACTGTGTTGTGGATGGACGGTTTGTGCTGAAGATCACTGACTATGGTTATAATGAGCTCTTGGAAGCCCAGAAATGCCCTTATGTTCACCCACCCCCAGAAGGTAGGTGGCATCAGGAAAGATTTTGGGGAAATATTTGCCTATTGATTTAGTAGATGTTTGTGCTCATGCAATTGCAAGCCAGTAGCCATGTGAGATCTTTGTGCTCAATCTCACAACATCCAGGAACTTGTATGCAGTGTACTGTTGTAGGAAAGAATATGAACAGTTTTTTCAGACTTCCTAAAAGCTAATAGCAGAGATTTTATTGTAAGCAATGATGGAGCATAAGCTTGTTGTAGTTGGGGAAGGATTTAAGTGCATCTCAAATCTGAAACAATCCTGAATTGCTGTGACAGGTGGAATTGCCTCCAATCATGTCTTTGAAGTTTTAAGTTAAGCGATATGCAAAGAGCTTTTTTTCTTCTTCTATCTGAAACATAGGATGATACTGTACTCTTTGAAATAGACCCTCTATATTCCAGTCACCAAAGGTTGCTACATGACATTCCCAACACTTGGGGCTGCATCTCATGGGGTCAGATTTGGAGATTTTGATTAAATTTCCTTCCATGTGAGAAGAAATTGGCAGTTGTTGCCTTGGGATCATATGACAGCCTTGCAAGCTGGTTTCACGTGGCATGCAGTGCTTCATTCCCTCTCTCATTGGATTTGTTTCCCACATTTCCAGTTTCTAAGTTATCGCAGTTGTCAGAAGACCACTCTTCTCCTCCCTTAGAGATGTTAAAAATATCACAGTACTTGAAATGTTCTTTATTCTCATTACCCACAGTTGCCAGGTTAACAATACCCCAGATTGAAGAAGAGGCTGATGAGGCTGGCTATGTTTTAACTCTGCTTTTTTCCACTTGAAGTAAAGAATTATGAAGATTTATTGTATTTCATACTTCTGTTACTAAAACTGCTTTCATCTGAGAATAGTTACTTAAAGTATTTAATAAGCTGTTATTTTATTAAAGAGCAACACCTGTAACAAGACACCCATGCTTTAGCACCAACATTTTGTCTGAGTGATGCTTTTCATACAGAAAATGAGTTAAAACTTGACACTGGTGAGATGACTTCTTACGTAGAAGTTCAAGACTGGTGTTATAGAATGTAAGTTGTTGATACAGCAAAATTTAAAGAAAATAAAGACAGTGAAATTTGGAAAATTCACATTGACTGTATGTAAGCATAGTATTTTGGGAGCATTGCAAGAAATAAAAAGACCTGATCTACTAATCAATGATGTATGTTCCATCCCCTCATCAAATAACTGAAATGAAGGACGCAGTTCATAATTGGGAATATCACTGAAATTAACAGCAGTATGGGCCCAAATATAAAGAATCTGATGCTCTTGATTTGTTTAGAATTGCTCTGGACAGCCCCTGAATTGCTGAGGGACCCAGACATGCGCAGAAAAGGCACATTCAAAGGAGACATTTACAGCTTTGCAATTATCCTACAAGAAGTTGTTGTTCGGGGCCCACCGTACTGCACTTCAGACCTCTCAGCTGAAGGTAAGCAACAATTTCTGTTTGTTTTTTAAGGCTTTACACAGAAAACTCGCAAAAGGTCTAGTCAAGCCCCTTGGATCAAGTGTTGATGTGGAAATGATGTCTCATTCTCATGACCATTCTTGGTGGAGGGGGGAAAAAAAAAAAAGGCTGTTTTTGTCAAAACATCCATAATGAACATCAAAATGCATACTTCTGACCTCAGACTCTTTGAGTGACTAATCACTCCTATCAGGGGTGTTGGGACAGTGGGTCACCTCCCCAGGTGCTTCAAAGCTGTCCAGCTCTGCTGTAGCACTTCCAGTGCCCTTTCACTCTTGACTTTTCGTCATGGTGCAGTGAAATCTGTCAGCAGAATTTTTCACAGCTTGGAAATTCCCTTGCTTACCATCCATCGTTCCTTCTCTGTCTGTCATAAGAAGGGTGAGGTTTTTGAGCTATCTGGCTTTTTCGTATTTTGTTCATCTACCCATCTATTTTTCCTTAATTGATTCCCCATTTAAAGAGTTTCTCTCCCCTCATCAGAGATCAAAGTGATGCATCATGACTCTGATGACTTATGCTGAAGTCTGCTAGTATCAGAGCTAGCATATAGGTAAATTTGTTAGAAATTGCTCGTGGTATAACTCTCACTGGTTCAAATCTTGTTGAGAATGCATGGGAAGAGCAAATACACTCAATCAAGTTGACATAAGTACTTGGCTATAGAGGGGGTGTGAGCAGTCAGAAAAGAGCTGATTTCAATGAATGCCCATTTTAAAGCCCATTTTAGGTTGGACAGTCACCAGGTGGGGTACAGCCATCAGTATCTGCCAGTTCAGTGCATGGAAAATTGACAGTGGCCCAGGCTGCTGCAGCAACACTATGACAGTGGTAACTATGGTGCAACCTGCTCTGTAATTCGTACCTGGACCATGATGTGATGGATGATGTAAATTGCAGGTGTTCTCCCAACTAGCCTCACTGGGCAACCTCCAGCAGATGCTGAAATGCATTCTAGTTTCCTGACTTGATAAAATGATGAATTTCTACTCATTTCTTCCTAATCCTCAAGGAGCTTTCACTCATGGTGTGAACTTTAAAACTGTCTGAGGAAGGCATTTCCCCTTGGCTGCCCCTGGAAATGTTAGGGCCAAGTGCTTTGTTTAGTTCATTTGGTGGAGACTGGTGGGATGGCCTAAAGGGCTTTAAAGTAAACTGTCAACATTGGAAAGCTTTAGGTGCTCACGGTAACAGCTGTGGAAATGCAGGGTCCCTGCCAGAAAGAGAGTGGTTTTCACTTCAGATGACTGCTCAGAATTTCACAAAATGAAACCTTCAGAAACAATCACAGTTGTTGTATTTTAAGCAAGAAGATAGAGTTCTACCTTTCACTTTTTTCAAGGCACAGTTAGCTCCCTGAAGGTTACTCTCAGTCTAAATAGCAGAGAGTCAGGCTAAAAAGCAATAACAAAACCCCACTGCCTCTCAGAAATCCTCCTACATACTATTTCCCAGTTAAAGATGAAGTGTCAACGGCTGGTATCCTTCCTGTCTGGACTTGGCTGTAACCCTCTGCTGTCTTAGAGGACCACAAATCCTGATGGAGAGAGTCAGAGGCAATTTCATTAAATATAAGCCTGTAGGCTCACACATACCCATCTGTCACACAAGCTTCCTTCATCCAGCCACTTTATTGCTTGTAACCTGGCTCTCCAGGGACAGGAAGGCAATTGAATTGCTTGTCTTGTAAATCCTCCAAGAGACTCCTGACAGAGGAAATCAGAAATCCCCAGGCTCGTTTGACACAGCCATAGAAGCGTGAAGAATAATAGCATCGATGAAGGAATGAGCAAGAAACAGATGAAAAATCTCATGTCTTTCACCCTCACCAATTGCCTCCATCTCTAATTGTGCTTTGGATCCTTCTCTTTGCCACAGAAATTATAAAGAAGGTGAAGAAACCACCTCCCCTGTGCCGCCCAAACATAGCTCCTGAGATGGCCCCCCTGGTGTGCATCCAGGTAATGAAGCAATGCTGGGTTGAAGCTCCTGAACGACGTCCCACCTTTGAGGAGGTATTTCATAAGGTCAGTGTACAGAGAACAAGGTGCAATTCTTTATTAATATTTAGCAGGAAAGTGTTTTTTGTAAGCAAGCCCTCAGGAAATGATTGAGAGAACACTAGAGCCTTGTCTTTGCTGTTGGGTTATTTTATAGATTGTGGCATCTAGATGCTTGTTTTCATCAACTGTGCCATATCTACACCATATTCTGAACTTGGACTTAAGTAGGACTATAATATGGGCTGTAACACAGGAAAGATATGGGCCTGGTGTATTCACATTTGTGATATGCCTATCCTGATGGTCTCACAGAGATAAAAAAAAAAAAGCTATGAATTATCATGTAGCTTTCAGATCAATATGTTGTTTCATCTTCTGAAGTCTTGAAGAAAACTTCTGTATTTTTTCTTGGTTACAAGAGTTCCAAAACTGAGTGATCTTCAGTGCTAAAGCTCTTTGGCCTGGAGAAGAAGCAACTGAAAGCAGATATGAAAACCTTGCATGATATTTTGACTGCTATGTAAAAGGTGATTAGGGGATAATTGTTTTCCATTTCTATTGCATAGTGCAAGAACTGGAAGCATCAAATAAAATGATCCAGACTCCAAGCAAACAAAAAGAAGTGCTTCTTCACAAGTTACATATCATCTAGGGCTATTAAACACAAAAATACAATATTTGACATCAGAAATCTCTGTGTTGCAAAATGGTGGATTTTGGGAACATATTCTGGAGAAGTATGATTGTGCACAAGTTCTGTTTGAACATCTTTTCTGGACATCTGTTACTGGCCACTGGCAAAATAAGCCTTTTGTCTGATCCAGTAATACTGTTCCTATGTTGTTTTAAGATCAAACTAGATAATCCAATATCCATAATTTGCACCTTCCAATTCTGTTATGCTATAATTGATTTCACACTCACGTTATTCCATTCTTGATCCTAATGAAATATTTAAAACCACAGATGCTCCAAATTGTCCCAGAGCTCATTTTCAGGTCAAGAGGAGCAAGCATAACTCAGTGTGGTGGCATGCAACAGTGCACATACATGCCTGTGTACAAAGGCAATTTAAGACCAGTAAGACAAAAGTAAGTATTGCCAATGCCCTAGCAACACTGACATCATCACTTCTTACAACCACCTGTCTCAGGTGACAAGTGATAAGACATAAGGAAATAGTCTTGAGTTGACCAGAGGATGTTTAAATTGGAAATAAGGAAACATTTCTTAATGGGGAGGGTGGTCAAGCATTGGAACAGGATATCCAGGGAAGCTCAGGAAGTCTGTGGAGTCTTCATCCTTGGAGATATTCGGGAGACATGTGAACATGGCACTAAAGGGCATGGGTTAGTGGTGGGACTTGGTAGGTCAAGACGGTGCTAGGACTTGATGATCTTGAAGGTCTCTTCCAGTCTAAATTATTCTATGACTCTGATTTTATGATTCTACAGCCTGGTCAGAAAGAATTTATTATGGGACAAATGAGGGTGCAAACCTACAGCATTGTAAGACTCCAAAAAATCTCTCATACCTGCTTATCATCCCAAGGGAGGTGGTGCTTCACTTAACCTTCACAAAAAGACTGCAGAGGAACAGCTTGTCCAGGCAACTTCCATAGCTAGTGGTACAAATTCATCATCCATTTTGCTTCTTTCTCTGTTGCAGAAGTTTTGCCATTGAGGAGGTTAGTCTTTAGAACTGTGACTTAAAAATAAAGTGCTTGCTTTTTGTTCTTTTCCAGGCTTATAGTGCTACAGTGAGGTAATGAGATAGGGAAGTAACTCTCCACTTTGATTTTCCAGTTCAAAACCATCAACAAAGGCAAAAAGACCAATATAATTGACTCAATGCTCAGAATGCTTGAACAGTATTCAAGCAACTTGGAAGATTTAATCAGAGAGCGGACAGAAGAGCTAGAGATTGAAAAACAGAAAACAGAGAAACTCTTATCACAAATGCTTCCTCCGTAAGTACTGGTATTTTAGATGGCAAAAAGCCCTTGGTGTTATATAGCTAGACTGGACAAAATGTTTCTCCCAAATTGAGTAAATTTGCAGGGCAGACCTCCAGTTTTGACAAGCATCTTTCAAACAAAGCAAGAAACTTCCATCACTGCTTATTACAGCAATGTAAGTCCTTCTATTTACTGGAAGATCCTTTAGGTACGCCAAGGCAAGAGTGCCTGAGCTCTTGGGCTTGCCACAACAAGGGCATTTGCTCTGTCACCCTTCCTTCTGTTATCATTTTGAATCAGCATTTTGTCCTGTCACCTCTTCTTGTGTTACCATTTCAGATCAGTAGCAGAAGCCCTCAAGACTGGTGGCACTGTGGAGCCTGAATATTTTGACCAAGTCACCATCTACTTCAGTGACATCGTGGGCTTCACAACCATTTCAGCCCTCAGCGAACCCATTGAAGTAGTTGACCTCCTGAATGACCTTTACACTCTGTTTGATGCTGTTATTGGAAATCATGATGTTTACAAGGTGAGGGGTACCCAGGAGGGAGGAACAAACCATCTCTGAGTCACATCTTCCTACAATTTGGTTCTACTGCTCTTTCACATCTTCTATTTCTTTGCTTTTTTGATGCTGTGGCATTTACTAGGTAGAGACCATTGGAGATGCCTACATGGTTGCCTCAGGGCTTCCGAAACGGAATGGAAACAAGCATGCAGCTGAGATAGCCAACATGTCCCTAGACATCCTCAGCTCAGTGGGAACGTTCAAGATGAGACACATGCCAGACATCCCCCTCAGGATAAGAATCGGCCTGCACACAGGTAGGCACCTAAAAATCAAAGAGCTCCTGCAACTGTATTTCCAGCATTGAATGCCTTCTCTTTGCTCACCCCAAAGCATCTTCCCTTAGAAGATGCTTAACAACCTTCCATAGCAACAAGGTCATTAAAAAGGAAGTGCAAACCCAAAGTAGAAAAATGGCTCGGTGTTGAGTAGAGAAATTTTGTATTCTGTTGCTGTCAGGAGCTACATCAGAAATGTTAGTCGCAAAGGCTGCATTGTTAAGTGTGGATTTTTATGTGCTTCAGAATCTTTGCTGGCATGATACGGAGACATATATATATATAGAATCAGAGAACCGTTAAGTTTGGAAAAGACCTCTGAGATCACCTGGTCCAACTGTCTACCTATCATCACCATACAAATTGAAGGAAAAGACTGGGGGTGCTTATTATAGATAGGATGTAACTGAAGGAACACGATACAGATACTCAAAAAGTTATGCTATAAATGTCTTCTAGTGCAGAAGTCGTGATCTATTCAATGAACAAAAAAGAAGCTTGTTTAAAAAGAAAAGGAGTTGGCATGGTGTTTAATTTTTCTAAAAAAACAAAAACAGCAACAACAAAACCAGCAAGATTGCAGTCGTCATATGTCTGAAAGTATGGCTTGGATTTTAAATTGAGGAAAAGACATCCACTGTTGTAAAAGTCAGTAGTTTTAGAAGAAATATTAACCTTCAGAATTTTGTATCATGGTCATCCGCTAATGAATTTTTGCCAGTTCTTCATCACTGGACTTCCTGCATCTTCCTCTCAAGTACACGATACCAGCCACTGGTAGAAGAAGAAGAAGAAGATTGTCAAGGAGTCTGATCTAGCATTATTGAATAATATCCACATTTTTGCAGCTCTGGCACCACAATTACAGAATTCCTTGTTGTACACACAGGGAAACAAGAACAAAGGAAGCATTTCACACAGAATGCCCTAAGAACAGAGCTGTGACTTAAGCATAGCTGAAATCAATACTTCATAGCTCCCTAGACTGTGTATTTTCTTGTTTTGGAGTTGTCTCTGACAACTCATTGTCCCCATTGTTTTCATTGCAATTTGGGGTTCTTAGCTGGCTCTTTACAGAAGTCTAAAGTATTAAGGATTGATTGCAGACACTGTGGGTTTTATACTGTGGGTTTTATGGTATGGTTGGAATCAGATGTGTCTGTGACCCAGAGCAAGAGTCTCTGGAGCAGCAGCATTTTCAACACAAGAAGTGAGGAATACAGCATGCAACATCTGCTGCTGCCTGTTGGCCACAGTTCTGCAGCACGCCTTCCACGCATCAGCCAAAAATCTATCCCTAGGTGACTGGGAGGGGGGAGTGTTACTTGTGGTTATTTTTTCTTCTTTTTCTGAACTCTGGGTATCTGGAAATAAGTGCTGCTATAAGGGTGTGAGAAGAGGGAAAGGATCATTTTCTTTTTGAAGAAGCAGAAGCTAGATCTTATTTTGCACAGACTTGAACCTCAGGGTGGGGATTCAGGGGAACAGAATCCTCCCTCATTGTAAGTGTGGAGAAAGTCAGAGGCTGCTTCATGAGCCTGAAGATGTACAAGTCTATGGGGCTAGGCAGCATGTATCCCAAGACCTGAAGGAATGTGATGTGGTTTCTAAGTCACTCTCCATCATACCAGAAAAGTCATGGCTTTCAGGCGAAGTCCCTGGTGACCAGAAAAAGGGAAACATCACTTCCACTTGTAAGAAAGGGAGAAAGGAAGACCCAGGGAACTACAGGCCAGTGAGCTTCACCTGTGCCTGTGGAGATCATGGAACAGATCAGTTCTCTGAACCACTAAGGTGAAAGCAGAGTTTGAATAGCCCTAGATCCCATTTCTCATAAGGAAAGAAACATGAAGAGGAAATCAGTAACATCATGAAGCAGGAAGGCTTGTGGAAAAGAGGGCTTGGCTATCACACCTTCCTGGAAAGGATGGAGAAGGGGTGTGAGCACCAGCTTTGTTGACCAACTGCTCTCTGAAAACTAGTGCCAAGAGGAGCACGTGGTTCCACCTCTGAAAAAGAAGGAAATACCTTTATGATTGTCCATGTCCCTCCTGGCTGCTTTGTCTTCTCTGACCACAGTAGAGAGCCACAGTTCTGGGAACATCTGATGGACCATGCATGTGACCATGCGTGGGTAAGTCAGGGAGCACAAAAATCACAGAATCACAGAATCACAGAATCACCCAGGTTGGAAGGGACCTCAAGGATCATGTAGTTCCAACCCCCCTGCCTAGCAGGGCCACCAAACATACACATTTAGATCAGGTTGCCCAGGACCCCGTCCAACCTGGCCTTGAACACGTCCAAGGACGGGGCATCCACAACCTCCCTGGGCAGCCCGTTCCAGGGCCTAACCACTCTCCTAGTAAAGAACTTCCCCCTAACATCCAACCTAAATCTTCCCTCCTTCAACTTAAAACCATTTCCCCTAGTCCTGCTATTGTCAGCCCTTTTGAAGAGTTTACTACCCTCCTGGGTGTAGGTTCCCTTCAGGTATTGATAGGCTGCAATGAGGTCACCCCGCAGCCTTCTCTTCTCCAGGCTGAACAAGCCCAACTCCCTCAGCCTGTCCTCATAGGGGAGGTGCTCCAGCCCCCTGATCATCTTAGTCGCCCTCCTCTGGACCCTTTCCAAAATCTCAATGTCTTTCTTGTACTGAGGGCTCCACACCTGGACACAGTACTCCAGATGGGGCCTCACAAGAGCCGAGTAGAGAGGGACAATCACCTCCCTGTCCCTGCTGGCCACCCCTCTCCTGATGGAGCCCAGGATCCCATTTGCCTTTCGAGCTGCCAGAGCGCACTGCTGGCTCATGTTCAGTCTCTCGTCCATCAGGACCCCGAGGTCCTTCTCTGCCGAGCTGCTCTCAAGGACCACTCCTCCCAGCCTGTACAGGTGCCTGGGGTTCTTCCGGCCCAAATGCAAAACCTTGCACTTTGCCGTGTTGAACCTCATCAGGTTCACCCGAGCCCAGCTTTCCAGCCTGTCGAGGTCCCTCTGAATGGCATCCCTTCCTTCCACTGTATCAATCGCACCACTCAGCTTGGTGTCATCAGCAAACTTGCTGAGGGTGCACTCAATTCCCTCATCGATGTCATTAATAAAGATGTTAAAGAGCACCGGTCCCAAGACAGACCCTTGGGGGACACTGCTTGTTACCGGCCTCCACCTGGACATAGAGCCATTGACCACCACCCTCTGTCTGCGGCCTTTCAACCAATTGCTTATCCATCGGGTCGTCCACCCATCAAATCCACTTCCCTCCAATTTGGAGATGAGGATGTGGTGGGGGACCATGTCAAAGGCCTTGCTCAGGTCCAGGTAAATGACATCGGTCACCTTCCCTTCGTCCACCAATGCCGTCACTCCATCATAGAAGGCCACAAGATTAGTTAGGCATGACCTTCCTTTGGTGAAGCCGTGCTGGCTGTCTCGGATCACATGCTCATTCTTTATGTGAACGAGCATGTTGTCCAGGAGGATCTGTTCCATGATCTTCCCAGGCACGGAGGTGAGACTCACCGGCCTGTAGTTCCCCGGGTCCTCCCTGCTCCCCTTCTTGTATATGGGAGTGACGTGACCCTTCCTTCAGTCATCCGGGACCTCACCTGACAGCCACGACTTCTCAAATATGATGGAGAGCGGCTCGGCAACCACCTCAGCCAGCTAAAAAAAGACCAGTGTTTGATTTGAGTTTCTCCCCTGCTTTAACTGCACCCTGGATTCTTGGCTCTCCTTTCTCAACTCAACTGCCTGTACAAAAGAACTTAGCTGAATCAGCTGTTTCTGTGCTGGCTGTATCTGGGTTGGGGCTGGATGGCTGGGGAGAGTGAGAAGGCAAGCATGTCCATGGAGGCTTAAGGAGGTCTGTTTATTGGTCAGACTCTCTGGCATGCAGACCTTCATTTCCATTGAGCTTGTTAACCTCCAAGGCACCACCAACAGTTGCTGCAGAAGCTCAGCCAGAATGACTTACTAACTGACCCTCCAAAGCCCTGGAAAAGTGCCATTTCAAAACAAACTGGAGAACCTGTGTAATTAAACAACCAGGCCAATGCATTCAAATCACAGAGTCTCCAATTTCCTTTAAAGTTGTTACTGTCAGAGATTTATCTCTGGAAGTTTCTCTTATCCCTTTGCTGAGGCAGTCTAGACATAGGGGAACTCACACACAGGCAGCGAAGGCAGCAAATAAAATTAACTCTTGGGTGCTTTCAACATTGAGAAATCGTTTTATCATTTTAACATTGGATTTGAATTAATCCCTTTATGATGGCAATGCTCTAGAAAGATATTCTTACCCTAAACATCTTTCATAGAATTGTAGAATCATTAAGGTTGGAAAAGACCTCCAAGATCATCTAGTCCAATCATCCACCTCCCATCAATATTGACCATTAAAAACACGTCCCTTGGAACCACATCTCCATGTTTTTGTACTCTTTCAGAGATGGTGACTCCACCACCTCCCAAGACACCCTGTTTTAATGCCTGACTACTCCTTCAGAGAAGAAATTTTTCCTCATACGCAACCTGAACCTCCCCTGGTGGAACTTAAAGCTGCTCCCTCTCCTTCTATTGCTGTTACCCAGGAGAAGAAGACAATTCTTTCCTCACCACAAGGAGGCAAGGAGAAGGGGTGCCTCCCCTTCTCAAGACTGAACGATCCCAGTTCCCTCAGCTACTCTCCACAGAACTCATGCTCCAGACCCCTTACATCTTCATTGCCCTTCTCTGGACACACTCTGGGGCCTCAGTGTCTTTCTCACAATGAGGGACCAAAAATTGAACACACCACTCGAGATGCAGAGCTTTGTGAGCTTTGTGGAAGTGATTGGGTGACTGTATTGACTGATTAGGAACTTAAATTTAGACATCCATGTGGAGGTGTTTCCAAGAGTGTTAGGGGGTCAACTCTTGCCCTGTGTTCAGTGGAGATCTGGTGAACATGATAGGTCCAACTCCTCTGATTCTCTCCTGAAGAGCTTGAACCCAACTAACCTCAAAAAATTTTGTATTATGAAAAACTTCGTATTTAATGTATCTTTAAATATTGCTGATGATGTTCTATATTGACAATTCTTATAAACTTGCATGGCAAAATATTTCAGAATCTCAGATCACAAATATTTCCTTGAAGTTTTGAGACATCTTAACCCAGAAAAATAATCAAAATTAAAAGGCAGGCAGAGCCTCATGAAAACATGTGCCATAAATGCATTCAATGGAGAATGCACAGATGCTTGTCTTTTCTCTGCAGAATGTTCCATATCTACTGAGACTGCTGAGACTTTAGTTTTTTAAACTTTCTATTTTTTAACTTTTTAAAAAATATTTATTTTGCAACCTTGATTATTTTAGTACGTGGGTGATGAAATTTAGCAACCCATCCTTCAGAGCCCAGTCCAAACACTAGCTGATCCAAGTGCCCCATATGACATATATCCGTGCTGCTTGGCTGTCACATTTTAGCTCTGTGTGTATGCGTGTTCAAGTGAATCCTACATGCATATTTCTCCCCGAGAACTTGGCACCAGCTCTTTAGGAGCTACTTTGGAAGGGAGTGGATCTTGTCTTTGGGATGAGACTGAGGAAAAATAAACAGCTTTTGGCTAGACAGGAAAGCTAATGATGTCTTCCTTTCCAAGGAGGGGACACAGGGTGGTCCAGTATGCTGCCAGCATCTCTTGACTTCTAAAGCTGATTCTCAATCTTGCTTCACTGGGATGTGACCCAGAGAGCTAACTCTGGTCAGTTTGGAGAAGAAGAGGCTCCACAGAAACCTCAGAAAAGCCTTTTGGTATCTAAAAAGGGCCGAAAAGAAAGAAGGGGACAGTTTCTTTAGCAGCATCTGTTGTGATAGAACAAGGGGAAAGGGTTTCATACTAAAAGAGAGGTGGTTTAAACTGGATATAAGGAAAAAGGTTTTCTCCGTAAGGATGGTGAAGCACTAGAACAGATTGCACAGAGAGATGGTGGATGTCCTGTCCTTGGAGACATTGAAGGAGAGGCTGGACCAGGCTTTGAGCACCTGATGGAGCTGTGGGCGTTCCTGTTCACTGTGGGGGAGTTGGACCAGATGGCTATAAAGGTCCCTTCCAACTCAAAAAATAGTATGATTCTATTCTATGATTCTATGACACAAGATCTCAACTTCAGCTTTTTTAGAGGGAAAAGTAGGTCGAAGAAAACTTTTTAAAATGAGATTTCAGTAGTCCTTGAGCTTCAGTGAACTCTGAATTTCTCCCAGATGACAGTGAACTGGGACACCAAAGACCTTTTTTGGCCAATGCCTAATTTAGAGAAATGTCTGAATTTTGACTACTTCTACCAAGCATGAAGGCCAGAGACATATTTAAAAATCCTTCTCTTGCATTCCCAAGTAGTTTCTGGATACCAGATGAGAAGATGAAATTTGCTTGTCTGTGAGCCTCGTGGTTTGTATAGACAGTGGTTGGGTTGTACAGGTGATGTGTTTTCAAAGCATTGTCCTGGGAGATGTAGTAGGCCTGACCATAGAATTGTTAAGGCTGGAAGGACCACTGAGATCATCTAGTCCAATCATCAGCCCGTCACCACCATACCTCTAAACTCACTGTGACATCCACCCTTGTCTTGAACACCTTCAGAGATGATGATTCCACCACCTGAACACATGTTAAAGACCTGTGTTCCCATTTGGGGAATCCCATCCAAAAGGATGTCAAAGATGAGATTTGTGTATCAGAGAACTCTGTGAATGTACAGATATATAACTTTTGCTTATACAGATGTTGTGTTTTTCAGGGCCCTGTGTGGCAGGTGTGGTTGGCCTGACCATGCCCCGGTACTGCCTCTTTGGAGACACAGTGAACACAGCATCACGAATGGAGTCCACGGGTCTGCGTGAGTACTTGAAGCAGTTCCTGGAATGGATTACTGACAGATTTAGAATCATAGAATCATAGAATAACTAAGGTTGGAAAGGACCACCAAGATCAAGTCCAACCCCTACCCATCCCTACGAAGCCCACTAAACCACGTCCCTCAGTGCCACGTCTTCAAGGCTCTGGAACACCTCCAGAAACAGTAACTCCAATACTTCCCTGGGCAGCCTGTTCCAATGCCTGACCACTCTTTCTTAGAATAGATTTTTCCTAATGTCCAAGCTGAACCTTCTCTGATGCAACTTGAGGCCATTATCTCTTGTCCTGTCACTACTTATCTGTGAGAAGAGGCAGATCCCCACTTTATTACAACCTCCTTCTCAAACGATATGAAGAAATGTTCGTCTTAATTATAGGCATTGTAACTGAATCAGCTCTCAAGAAAAGGGCAAGTCCAAAGACAAAATTAAAAGCAGCCTGAAGCCTTCAGAGGCCAATATTTAAGACAAAGAGATCATTTAGTTTTGCTCTTCTTTTCCCTGCAAAATCTCGAAAGAATGTTCAGCCTGGTCCAGTAACCAATGTGATTCACATTCTGCATTGTAGCTGTCAGCCATCAGCTGAAATGAATATGAGTCTTGCTTTAGATTTCTCCTGCATGGAGTTGTATCTTGATTTCAGACTGCTGAGGACTCTTAATTCAGAGCTGTTCTTGTACAGTATAATAATGCACCTACCTGCCATGGCTAGTATAAGGCAAATGGGGAAGAAAATGTGGGCACTTCTTTCCCCAAAGCAGTGGTCATGGCACCAAGATGTTTGAGTTCAAGAAGCAGTTGGACAGTGCTGTCAGAAATAAGATTTGAGTTTTGGATGATCCTACATGGAGCCAAGAGTTGGGCTCGATTATCCTTGTAAGTCCCTTCCAGCTTGGGATATCCTATGAATCTATGATTCTATCATGATAGAGAGAACAATAGACCACAGATAATGCTGCCCTGAAACTCGGGGGGTTTACCGGTGTGTTTTGTGAAAGCTTCATTTATCAGCAGTAGAAACTCTGTGAACAATCCTTAAGATTCCCTTCTCCTTTGAGTATTCTTGATGTCTTTCTTGATGAGTTGATGTTAATGCTATTTTCCCTTTAAGTTCTTACCTTAGTTTTCCAATGGCTTCAAGTTATAGAAGCCAAGTCTTCACTCCTAGAGCCAATGGCTGCAGCCAATAATGCAATGCTACATGACAGCTGTTTCTTATTGTCCCATAGATGAAGGCATGGAAAAGGGGCGATGGGAGAGGAGCATTTATCTGCATTTCAGTCGTATGCATAAATAGATTTGCTCTCTGCTGTGTCCTTGACTGAAGCATGGATCTGTAAGCCATGGTGAGCTGTGGATGATACAGTGGAGAGCATGCTCAGAGCTCAGGAACAGTTTCAAATTCACTTTTGATTTTCAGTCCATCAGTACAAGTTGATTTCCAAAGGCAAAATATCTTGTGTATTTTTAACCGTTGCTCTTCTCTGGTCTCTCTCTTGGTATTTTCAACAGTTCTAATAGATTGGCTAATATATTTACTTCACAAACAGCAGGGAATCTGTGATATTTAATACTGAAATCTTGAGGAACTGTCATGATGAAATTACTTTGTAATATGCATGTAACATTACAAATTTTCTTCTTCTGTCATATAACCATCGCATTTCTAATTCCAGTGATGGCAACTACACTAATCAAGACTAACAATTAAATTAAACATGAAGATTTTCAAGGTTTAGAACCTTAGAAATGTGAAGTCCCACTAAGACTGGAAACTGCGAACACTGGAGATACAAGATGACCTTTGTACACTAATAGAAACCTGTACAGATACACACTAATTTGTAGACTGTAGCTTACTGCTGCACTAATTGAAGCAAGAAGCAGTGCAGTGTTCCTCTGCATCAGTTCCTTTAAACTGATATTCCTTTTTTCTAATAGTTCTGAAAAAAATAATTAACTAGTTTGCCCCCACATTTTTTATAGGGGAAACAGAATGGGATTGAGACACTGGAAAAAAAAAATCTTAAAAACATCAACAACAATAAACGGTTTTGGGGAAAGTAGTTTTGAAATATTTCCTGGCTTGTTAACATCAATAGCACAGCAACAAATTTCAGTGAGTTCCAGCAATGGCTGCAAAACAAACTGGGGAGATGGGAATTTGATAAAGATCTCTGCCTTTGCCATTTTCGTTTTTAAAATGTTAACAGCAGCTCTGGGTGGAATCAATTACTGAAAAATGCAGATGGATCTACGTGTACAGCCGCATTATCGCTCTGTCTCATTGCAAACCCCACCTCTCTGCTCCTAATCCCAACACCTGTTTTTCAAATGATGCTGGCTGCCTGGAGCAGAACTTCAGTCAATTATTTTTCTTTTCTTTCTTGCTGCCTAGTTTTGCATTGTGGCAAAAGATATTAATAATGACATTTTTCATTCCAGCCAGCAATTTTGCTGTAATGGCACTTCTCATCTTTACGAGGAGCAAGGCTTCCCATGTTTACTGTGTTTGTTATCCTTCTCAAAGAAGTCCCCAGTCTAGGTCTCCCCTCACCCTGTACTTGTTACAACCTTACCTGGAAGGATCCAATCCATCACTGTTGTACTCTACCCCACAAAACTACAGCACACCAACAAGCCCTGGAGAAGTTTTCCCTGCCAATACAAAGTAGTGGGGATTCACAGTGTGTATGCAGTGTAGTGAGCCAGCTGTTTTGCTTTCCATTCTCAGCTTACAGAATTCATGTCAGCCAAAGTACGGTGGATACACTTCGGTCTCTAAATGAAGGCTATGAAATCGTTCCTAGGGGAAAAACAGAACTGAAGGTAAGAAGGCCTGGTCTGTGTGAAATGCTTCATGAGGGAATTTTCTTGCTTAAGGAATTTTCATATTATGTTCTTCTTTGGCCTTCATCCATCACTCTTCCACACAATCCTTCCTAAACGATCCCCATCAGTTGGTTCAATATATGAGGTCATTCTTGAAGGACTGTGGAAAAATTCAAGCAAACAGATGAATGATCTGTATCTATTTATGCTATAAATCAGGAGAGAAAGTTGCTGAAACATTTAGTAACAAAAAGGAAAGCACTGAACAATGCCATTGCCATCTGAAATCCTCTACCATGAGTGGATTCCTGGTGTAGAGGGTGAATGGAAAGGCAAAAGGTTTTTCCAAAGCTATTTTTTTTCCTTTTTTTTTTTTTTTTTTTTTGTTCGTTTGTTTGTTTCTGAAGTTTATAATGAGTTTATTTAAACCATATATCAAATACCAAAATTCATACCCCTTCCAGCTACTGCCACACAGAGCCTCTGCGTGATATCAAACTCTGAATATTCAGTCAAGTGCAATCTCCCTCTTTCCCTCTTTCTCACCTTAACATTGTCCTTGAGTCATAACATACACATAACAAAGACCCACTCTCTGCAATAGGATTGCTGTTGCTCAGGGAGGATACCACAGGAGAATAAAGCCCTGTGTTGAATTTAGCAGTCTTCCAGTGGTTGTCAGAAGAGTGTAAAATAGTGACAGAAAGAAGGAAGAATGCACACGGTATGAGGCCACTGCATTCCTTATTCAGAAAGAGCTTAGCTTGATAAATGTCGTGGGGAAGAGAAGAGGGAAATGTGTATTAAAACAATCCACGATTCAAAAACTGAATTTTATTTTTTGGGGATGGGGGAAGGCATTATATAATGACAAGAGACTCACAAAATTGTAAGGAATTTGTGGAAAAGACTCATATGAAGGCTCATTTGTTCTACAGTCGATGTCTATATGTGCCTTCACTTCAGCTCTTTTTCATCAACAAGAACTGTAGATACCAGTGCAGCACCCTTCCAAGGTGGACATGCAGAACAACTCAGGACATTTAAATCTAGAAGTGCTGTCATCTTTCTCATGATGACTAAAGGTTACCTGGTGACTTGCATCCATGCTTTGCAGGTTTACAAACATTTGTATGAATTTGTATACTCAGCTTACCCATATGGGACAAAGTGCATACCTTACTCCATTGATCAGCCACTTACCGTATGAAATGAGGATTTTGATATCACAATAATATCTTTTATCATTCAAAATACTACTTTTCAGCCAGAAATTCTCCCAGTTTCTAGGACTCTATTTAATTCAGCCTTGACAAAAGCTGCTGATTTTCACAGTGCCTAAACCAAACAAAATGATGCATCACAAAATACCATACAACTAAATAAAACATCACTTATCTTCTTATAAAATAACTAGAAAGAAGCAGTTCTGCTTACCTTAAACATCTGCAGCAGGACGTATGATTATGTTCCCAGGTCTCCCAACAATCTTTTATATCAAAGAAGTATTTTGTCACCCAAGTTCATATGGCTGCAGTGAGATATCTGAGGTAATCACTCCAGGTTTAGTTAATAGAAAGAAGGCTTTGCATAGTCAGTGATGATAAAATGGCACTTCAGGAAATTATCAACCTGACTTACTTTCAGTGTCCAGTTTTTGTGAAGATAAATATCACCCTAGAAGTGTCTGTTTTCCAGCACTGGCTCCAGACAGGGATGGTTGGCTCTGGTATATGTGGCTGGAATATATCAGATGCATCTCACTTTAAAAGCTAAATTATTGATGTAGGAAAAGGAATTGATTGTTCTGATATTCAGCCCACAAGCAGTTGTAAAATCTTTCTATTATTGATGCCAGTGCTGCAAAATAAGATGATCAGAGATCCTCATTTCTATTAAACTGTGTAGTTTCAATGACCCTGATTAGAGAAGGTCATTTGTACATGGCAGTTTGAACAAGGTCTGTTTTTCTAAAGGCAGTGAAACTGAAATTCTCTCTGAGTCATTGCAAAAGAGAGCAAAAGACTTCCAGCCATTCTCTGTCTCTGGATATATCCCTCAGAATGTATTGAACAGAGGGTGGTCCGAAAAATGTTCTTTATCCGGACTTTTGTTTTTATTTTAGGGTAAAGGAGTAGAAGACACATATTGGCTGGTTGGGAAAAGAGGATTTCTGAAGCCCTTACCTAAACCTCCTGAAATAAAGCCAGGGTGAGTGTGACTTAATCACTATTCGATATATTCATGACAAGGTCACTGTTGGAGCTCACTGCTGGAATAAATGTCTTTGGTATCTGTTTGCAAAGTTTTTGCATCCTTTGTCCTTGGCGATGTACACATTCTCAGGCATAGCACTGGGATTCAGGAGTGGTGCAGGTGCTTCAATACTTCTCCTGAATCACAGTTCCCAGAAGGTCTCATGAGAACTTGTTACTTTTACCCTGTAGACCATTAGAAGTGGATAACCAGGCAATTCCTTCCCAAATATCCCTCCTACCCAGTGTCTATGTGTGTGACACTCAGATTTTTCTCATTCCATCAAACTCCTCCAGAAAACCTTCATTACAAACACATTTATTCCCTGCAGCATTGCTCATTTCAACCAAACCATAAGAAGATACTTTGTTTTAGAGATATATCAGCGTTATGCAATTAAAGACTTAATGATGTTGCCTCCATACAAGAGGGGATCAGTATAACTCATTCAGCCATTTTGAAGTTCTACAATACCTGACTTCGCAGATTGAGTGTCCCTGCTCAGCTGTCATATGCTGAATGCCTGGAAATGATGTTGTGGAAGGCCGTGAAAACTGGGAATATGATTTATTTGACTAGAACAGCATAATCACCCACACTGGAGTTACTCAAGCTTGATTCTCTTTAATACATGCTAACAGGGTGTAAGTAGACTGGCCTGCTTGAACATCTACATTGGAATATGGTAAATTGTATTTGAAAGATGGTCATTGTCTGTAAGGAGGTCCTGCAGTGTCTGACACCAAGCAGTGTATGTTTTTATTTCAATTCTAACATCTCTCGAGTAATCTTTTTCTAAGTTTTGCCTCATTTCCTCTTAGTAAAATTGAAAGGGTATTTATCTCACTTTTCAGATAACGTTTAACTACTGGACAGTTGCATTCAGGACAGCCCATGTGTACAAAGTGCTCTCAGAGTTTTCTAGGGATAACATGAAATTAATCGTATCTTTTAAGGTATTTGAGTATCAGGTTGGAAGACAGTAGGTGACTGGAAGCTAAATGTGAGAGATGCGTGTTTCTTATACTTGGAAGCATTTTATTATTAATATTTGATGGAAATGGGCTGTTGATTAATGTGTGCTGATATCCTTGATGCATTTTTCATGAGAAATACAAAACTTGGAGGAGATTAGCCAGATTGCTAAAGTGAATTGTCTCTCCACACTACCAAGGGAGTACTAAATCTTCTCATCTGGGTTTTACCATCTCAAAGTCAATTGTCAGGCCTCTGTTGACTGTTGACAGCCCTCTGAAAGTCATCTGGTAATATCTGCCTGTATTTGGTCAGATTTATGCAGATTAGAGCTGTTTTTAAGTACAGATTTTAAATGAGAAATACATCAGGTCTGGGTGGTTGAGGATGGGGGCAATATGATGAGGAAAAAAAATTGTCCTACACGCCCAAGATCAAGGGATCTTGAGCATCCTTGTGCTCTGATCTTCGCTGTTCTTTTGCACTATTTCTGTCTCCACAGCAGTTGAATGAATGTAAAAGTAATCAGAGGTAAAATCAAAGTTAAATGAAACCGAACCTGTCCTTAAATGAATTTAAGGGTTCAAAATGAAAGCTGGGTCCTGCAGAAGAAAAGTGAATACACCAGAACTGCCTTGTGCACAGGCAGTGCTATTATCAGCCAAGGTTCAGACATGGTGTCCTGTTTTTCCAGCCTCGTGTTGAGGTTCAATTTTTATGCCGATTTATTAGAGGCTGATTGTTATTCTTCTGTTACAGCTATGTCTTGGTCAATATGGTGATTTCAAGCCACCGCTTGAATATTTTCCTGAATTTCCTCATCTGTAGGCTTTTGAGAAGGAATCTTCTTCTTCCTCTTCAATTTATCTTTACACTTATCCTGAAGTAACTCCTCTTCTGTTTAGATCTTTCCTTTCCATGAGGTCTTGTACAACCTGGTCCTTCATAACTACTGGGATCAGCAGGTTTTCTCCTTCTGTTCATAAGAATAAGGAATGCATTCTTCATCACTTCATTCATCACCATGGCTCACAAAAGCAAGGAACGCTCCTTTGAGAGGTGCCTTGCAGACTTTCAACTCATAGTTTTGGCCTTCTGTCTGAACTCTTGTCTTAGACCACCACAGGTCGTGAAATACTGAACAACAAGGAAAGGGGATTTGCACCAGTGTAAATCTTCAGCCCCTGGACTAGGAAAATCCCTTTACCCAAATGAGCCTGTAATGTCTTTTTTAATGTAATCTGCTTGGCACCCTGGAGAGATATTTTGCTTGAACTTGTCCTTAATTCCTGGTGTCTACTGCTCTGAAAACTAATGAGTGCCCACAAGGCTGGATGAGGGTATTTCACGCATTGTACGCTCTGAGGAATTTCACAAAACAAAATTAAATTGAGCTATATGGCTTCACACTTTCCCATATGTCAACTGGATTATCTTTACTGCTGATGTGTGCTTTCCCCAGTCAGTTAAGAGATAAAAATGTCAACTGCCTGTGGCTCATGCTTTATTTTACAGCTTGAGTGGCCCAAACTTTGTCAGACAGACAATTGTGGGGGTCTTGCTGAGAGTTTGTACTTCCTAAGAGAAGGTAAATAAATTAGGTTTGGTCTCATGTCTACACTATGGAAGGACAAGTCTGGGGGGCATGGATTTAAGATTCAAATCCTTGGGATGGAAGTGCTGTGTGGAAAAAAGGCTCAAAGTAATCCTAGGAAGATTGATTTTGTCTTTATAAAAATGGGTGGATCTGTGTCTGACCCCGTGAATTATCATATGAAGCTGGGCAGCTTGAGCAACTTGGTTTTGCTCATGGTATCTTAGTGCTTCTTTCTGACATAAGTCCGTGATTTTTGTCCATTAAAATACTGTGTGAAATGCAGACTATTTCAGGCCTATGCTGCAGTGTAACATCAAGAAAGTGCTGACTTTATATCCTATGATATAAAACTCATCAACCAAATAGAGCTGAAAGCCCAGTCCTTGGCAGGAGGATTTCTTGATATATGCGAAGCCAATTTTCTAGCTCTGGTGGGCAGTCATGAGCAGATCTATGGTCAGGTAGCTCATGTGCTGTTCATAGATCTCTAGGGATCAATCAAGCTTCATTATTCTACTTCAAACTATCAGTGTGCTTGTAATCTTGGCATGACTAGGTCTGGAAAATGATCATGTGCTTGCATAGGTGAGCCTGCATATAGCACAGATTAGAAGCCAAACTTCAACACGTGTAAAAATGTGGGAGGAGATTTAATTACGTGACTTGTTTAATACTAATAGTCCCATAAAATACTGTGAAAACAATTCCTTCTGGTATTGTTGAAATCACTGAGAGAATATATCTGTCTGTCTAGCAATAAACCTCAGGCCATAGCCAAATGATTAACAAAGGAACCATTACTGCATCTACATAATTTGAATTTAATTGATATTCACCAACCTCTCTGTTTAATCCCAATTACAGTCTTGTGGAGGCATTAACTGGAACATCATCACTGAATTCCATTGTCAGCACTAGGCCTTAATATATTTGCAGTTGTGTAAAGAGGTTCAGATAAACACACATAACTCTTAAAAGCCAGGTGGTGCAGGTGATATTGCTCATATTGGGTACAATGCATTTTAATTATGAAGAAAGTCAGTTCCACTAAAGTTCCTAATATGCTTCCACCCATGCACAAAATCAAATGAACTAAAAAGGCAATTCGTAAAATCAACCTTATGTCGAGCTACAGAGGGTCTGTATATCTGTTTTCAGATAAAAAGCTTACTGGAAGTTAAGTAAGAAATCCATTCACATACTGTTTGTATGGGAAATGGGTTGATGTTCGTCAACCTGATGATGTTCATCAGCGTCCCATGACACAGGGACATAGGGAAAATGAAGGTTTAATATCCAGACTGTAGTGCTGCCTCCTACTCCAAAGAGTTTTCTATTTGAGGTTTATCCTCCCTCAGAAAACAGTGCAGGCAGTGAAATAGGCTCCTTGGTCCTTTCCCAAATTCCTACAGCTTCCCTGATAGATGTACCTTGTGATGGATGTTATTTCCCCTGTTTCCTGGCAGCTCATTAGGATTTGTATTGCTTCGTCTCAGGATCTTGTAGGTTGGGGCTCCATTGTGCGAGACCAAGAAAAAGGCTCTCTGCAGAAGTCTTATACCTCACTGCAGGAAACAATAGTAGATTGGGTTGGGCATAGAAAAAGTGTACCAAGACAGTGAGATAGACAAAACAAGCATGCTGAACAATTAAGCAGCAGTCTAACTGTGCCCTTGATATTTTTTGGAGATTTCAGTTAGGCTTGAAGGAAAGCTGGGAGGTTTCTTTTAGGGCACACCAGGAGGTAAATCTCAGGGCTAAAGAGCAGCCAAAGAAAAAGCACGAAGATGGTGAGATACTGGAAGCTGACATGCTGTGATGCTCTGGAACAGACAGACGTTTATCGGCACTGGTGAGGCACTCCTCTTGCCCCAACAGCAGAAAGGAGGTTATAGAAATCTACCAAATGTAAGCCTGTGCCTGCTGCATTTTCAAAGCACTGAAAACTATCTACTACCTGAAAATATTCAGTAACATTGGAAATTCAGAGAAAAAAAAAAAACAAACAAGCAAACAAACCACAGTCAACAACGAGACAGGATCACATCCATCTGCAGCTTCGGGGAGTTGAGTGACACGATGGCTCTTCTAACTTTCCAACTTCTACAGTCCAATTTCAGAAATTATGTGCTTTGGTACTGAACACAGTGCTTTCAAGCAGCTGGAAACTTCTATCTCAGGAGGCAGTTTTGTTTGGGGGCTTTCCTTTTCTAATCCTATCTTAAATTAAATAGTGCCAACAGGAGAAAAATAAATACATATATGATTCAGTTTTTGGATATAGACCATAAATCCTCTCAAGGGTTTTTAACCATCAACACACTGCCTAGGGAAAGACATAGAAGAGTTTTGCATCGCTGTCATCAAACACAGAGCCCTGTTCTTGTATGAAATCATGTAGAAGTTAAGAGTGGAAGATTCCATAGAGCAATCAGTCCAACATCATCATAAATACTAGGCACAATGTGAAGTGAGAAATCACTGAAAAATGAATAGAACCATAGAATTGCTTAGGAAAAGACCTTCAAGATCATCAAGTCATCATGAAGATGCAGCCAGGAATTGGAGACAGCTTCAGGACTTTCCCATACGTGAGGATCAGCCTTGGAGGAAACACCAATAATTTAATTGAAAATGAAATGAGTGAGAAACAGTGGAGGATGTTCAAAGAATCCAGTTCCAAATACCAAATGAGAAACAGGTTTTTGTGAGGAAAAAGATATCCCTGAGGACGACACTGCTTCTTACTCTACCCAACAGAAAGCTCTCTCATTCTGTGTCTGTAAGGAGGCAGTCTGATAGGAGAGGATCAGTGGGGAATCTTTCTTGTTGCTGCCAATGTAACTCTTTGAGGGGCAAGTGGAATCCCAAGGATCCCACTTGAAGTTTTTTACCCAATACACATTTAAACTTGAAATAAATAGCCTGTAGAGCAAGCAGCAGTAGCAGCAGCAGCAAAAAAAGCAAAAAAAAAAAAAAAAAAAACAACACAAAACAAAAAAACCCAAAAACCTGTCCTTACATGGCTGGACTTATACAACAGTATCACAAGAGTTCATAAACAAACTTTATATAGAATATAAGATATTTGGGGAAATCAAAGCACACTCTGGCTCAGAGTGTTGAGCACCTCCATGTCAGGACAGATTTTTATTTTTATTTTTTTTGCTTCACAGTCAATGTTTACTTTTAAGATTATTTCTAAACCGCCAATAATACAACAGCAAAATGAAGAAAAAGGAATGTTCTGGCCACAGCTAAGCCATAAACAGGTGAGAAAGAAGAATTTCTATCTGAATTCTGATTGTTTTAAAGAGGGAAAGGTAAAGAAAGCTAGCGACTCACTCATCGCCCTTTGAACAAGGCTCTGTAACTTGGAATGTAGTTGCTTCAGCTGATTTATTTAAACAGGCTCTTTAGGAGCAAGCTGAGGCTTCTGGAATATTGGAGAATTGCTGTAAGAAACTCAAAGTGTTCAGAAATGAAGAAAATTTAGATAGCAGCCTTTTGATTGTGATTCAATGCATTGCCCTTTCCTTTGCAGGTATTTGTATGGATTGAGAGGAGGGCTACTTACCTGTCTTTGTCCACCACATTCTAGCTTGCAGCACTGGCCCTAGGTTTGACATTGCTGAAATGTGCCTGGTAGTTTCTCCTTCTCCCTTAGGCAGGCTGGGAGGATGCTTTTGCAGAACTGATTTCTTTTATGAATGACATTGCTGAGAGATAACAAGAGGAATAAGTACTGAGAACACTGGGAATCAATCACATTATAAGCCCTGGGGTTGGTTGGAGCAGGACCACAGAGCTGAGATGTAATGAATTGCCAAGATACCTGGCAGTAGATCATGTTTTGCTCCAGTACAAAAGTTTGTATGAGATGGGAATAAGAAAAGAAGACAGATAAGATGTCTTCATTCATGACTGAGGTCTTGAGGCTATTTGAGCATAGTTGTTGTTCGTGAAGGGTAGAATGGCCAAGTCACAGTGATGCTCTGTCTATGAACATCATGCAGTTGTAGAATCATTTGAGTTAGAAGAGACCTCTAAAGGCCATCTGGTTCAACTCCCTTGCAACAAACAGGAACACCTACAGCTCAATCAGGATGCTCAGAGACTCATCCAGTCTGACCTTGAATGTTTCTAGGGATGGAGCATCTAACACCTTTCTGGGCAACCTGTGCCAGTGTCTCAGGAAGATCCTGTCCAGGGAGTTGGAGTGTAGAACCTCACACGAGCTTTTCTCCTGCTAGCTTCAGAAACAAGGTGGAGGGAAGAAAAGGTCTTGGAAAAAATAACAGATGATTTCAGACAGGGTGAATCGGAAGAGATTAGGATGGAGGGTGCAGAATCAGCAGTTTTCAGTTGCTCAGACACTAACAAGTTCAGGAGATGTATCAGTGTTGTTTGTACTGGATCTTTCTTATTATTGTTCTGTGGGTGAAGTCCAATTCATAAGCAAAAGTTTATTTGATATAAATATAAACAGTATTTAGAGTTAGAGATTAGAAAATCTGATATTGGACTTGAACCACAAAGACCCTGGTCAGGTCTTGGCCTGCTGGTAGGTCACAACCTGCTGCACTGTTGTGCAGAGACAGGCAACAACATCCTCCATCACCCTGTGGATGATGTTCAGTGGGGTTATCTCAGGGATAAGTTCCTCACACTTATCTCTGTGTGACTGAATTTTGCCACTGCTTGCATAAAGGGGCTGGAGTCCAAGTGTTCCTCCTCTTGGACCAGCTGGTAGTACTTTAGCTATTGTAAATTATCCAGCTCTGGCATAGCCATGTCCTTCTGAGCTTTGCAAGTTACACAGCTTTTAGAATCAAGTAGAGATTTGGGCACTTCCAGGTGCCACTCTTCTGCCCCGTGCAAGACATCTTTGAGATAAATACACTCTCTCATTCAGTAATTTCTATCTCCCTACACTGGCTCAGAAGAGAGCCCCAGATTTTTTGTTCCAGTGGAAATATTTCTGTTGCAGGTACTGGGACGATTCCCACCTGAGTTGTATATTCCCAGAAGAATCTATTCCTCATTCAATTCATATGAATTAAATGTCCTTTGGTCTTCCTTTGGTCTTCAGCACTCATCCCTGTAGGCTCTGGCACTCACAGGAAGGTTTATAAATAGGAGTCAATGTTTCTATGAGAAGGAAAAGTATTGTAGGAGTTGAGAATTTAGGTAGGACATGGAAGAACAACGTGGTTGTACATATGGTTTAGTGGGCATGTTGGTGATGGGTTGGTGATTGTTGGACTTGATGATCTTAGTGGTATTTCCAACCTTAACGATTCTATGATTCAAAGACAATAATTTATAAGACAGAACTGGTGAAAGAGTTGAAAACTGATTCGTTTTTCCCTCCAGGAAGTCTGTTAAAATCTGTGCTAAGCTATCAGATAAAACTGGCAGTTTCAAGGGACAGTTATATAGAAATTCCAATTGGAAATAGGTCCATAGCTTTGAGAGATAAGAATTGTTGAAACCAACACCCCATGTAAGAGAAAAAGGCACTGAGAGAGGAACTACACTAAACAAATTAAAGATCACAGAATCATAGAATATCCTGAGTTGGAAGGGACCCTTAAGGATTATCCAGTCCAGCTCCTGGCTCCACATGGAACTACCCAAAAACCAGACCACAAGATCTTCATAGAAGTTTGGTTTTGTTCTTCCTTTTGAAGAACTAAGGGAGGATCAGAGGAATAAAAGAATAATTACCACAGGGTTCACATTGTCTATAAGATCCATCTAGTCAAAATCTAATTTGAGATCCTTGATCAACAAAGTCATTCATCTCAGCCTGGGAGAGGTGTCTAGGATGTGTCAAGAGCAATTTGGAAGTGCCTGGCTATAGAGATTAGAAAATGTGCTGTCTCAGCAACTTCAGGACAGTTAAAATTAAATTAGCTAACTTCACTCTTTGCAGTATGTCAAGTTGAAGGCCCAACAATTTTTTCCTCTCTTCACACTAGAGGGCACATTTTCACATAGTCACCAGTATGGTTTGTTCTTTATTGCACATGAAACTGAACTGATTCTTTCTCTAATGGCCTACCTGTTCACTGCAGGTGTAAAGCTCATGGGTTACCCTCGGAAGAAATTGCAGAGTTCAAAAGGAGGAAAGCTGCAAAACAACTTGGCAAAAAGGCCTAGATCCGAGGTAGTAGCTGTAGGACAGCCCTCACGTAGCTCTGCTGTTTAGTGTCCGCTTGTGTGTCATTTGTCTGCACATTGCTGGTTTTAGTTTTATGCTTTTTTTTTTGCTTTTTTTTTTTTTTTTGCTTTTTTTTTTTGTCAAAACGTTGTATTATATTTTTAAACCGTCTCATTCAAAAGATGCTGGGAACTGCACCAGAGGCACCAGAGCTGTCTAGAGACAGTAGCAGCCGTATTGGGTCTCGTAGCAAGTTTATGACTTGCTTTCCCATTCATTCCTGCAAGACACATGGTACTACTGCATCTACTTGCAGCGTATTATTGATCCACTTGATGGCAATTCAGTGTGCAAGGAAAAGCCCAGCTCATGGTAAACTCAGATGAAACTGGAATTCAAGCCTGGAAGAAGCCACATGGCCTATTATTGCTTTCTTTTAGCACACCTCATGGCATCAGCTCTGTTATTCATTGTTATGGTACCAAGATGAGAAATAAATGTGTAGTTAGGATGATCTGGTTGGAAATCAGAAGTTATGTGGTGTATAATATGGCCTATAGTTATTTATTTATTTTTAACTTATCCCTCTGTTTTGAAGTCTTCATCCATGAACTCTGCTCAGTAAGAATAGACCCCTCAAGATCCTTTCATGCTTGAAAAAATACCAGTTTGCTTCTTGCTGTAGTTGCTTCTTGCTGGCCAAACCATAAACTAGCAAGGTGTGGTTGACCAGAAGTTCAAATTTGAATTTGAGGTCTGAAAGCTGATTCAGCACAGTTTTTGACAAAGATTCACACTGTGCTTGAAAGTGAAACCCGCTTTACGCAGAAGCCCGATAAAATTACAGCTTACTATTTCTCCTTCAGCCCCACTGTTGGAATAATATTAGATGATTGCATGATCTGCATGATCTCTCTAAATAATAAAAATATAACTTCTGAGACCAAGCACTCAGTTCTGTTGATTTCTCTCCCATCCACATCTTTCTTCTCTTCCATCTGCTGCTCTGCATCATTTGCTTCCGTCTTGGAATGCAGAGGCATCTCTCAGCAATACAGTAGGAGACAAATCTCTCACTGGCACCAGAAAGGTTTAAAAAAGACACCTAGGGAAATTTATTTTTCTTGACTCCTTGCTGGCTGCACAAGAGTTCTGATCATTTTTTACAAAGACATTAGCTCTTTCTCATAATGTTGAATAAATGAACTGTTGGGATGAATCCTAAATCACATGGACTCGGTACATTAGCAGTTTCTTACGATTCAGGAATACGCCTTAAAATTTCTTACTGTTTTCTTGCACTTGTCCTTGGTCTCCAACCAAGTGTGAGAGTGAAGAGACCACAGTATAGAATCATGGAATTATTAAGGTTGGAAAAGACCACTAAGATCACCAAGTCCAACCATCAACTCATCACCACCATGACCACTAAACCAAGTGCCACATCTATGCTGTTCTTGAACGCTTCCAGGGATGGTGACTCCACCACCTCCCTGGGCAGCCTGTTTCAATGTCTGACCACACTGAGAAGAAATTTTTCCTAGTATCCATTCTCAATCTCCCTTGAAGCAACTTGAGGCCATTACCTCTCATCCTGTGTGCGGAGAACAGGGAGTCCTGGATGTTTTGTTACTTCCAAATTGAATAACCTGTCCTTAGGGGCAGGTAACCAGACCTTCAAAAACCTTACATCAAACAACAAAAAGTAACTCCCTTCAATGATAACACAAAAGCAGTAGTTGGTGTCAGAGTGGTCAATACAGTTCTGATTCCAGTGTTAGTAGTATTTGTATATGCTTTGTTTATGTTGTATATCCTTTGAAAATGGCTTATCCTGTGCTGTCATTGAGGACAGTTTCATTGGGCTGCTAAACAATTCTATACTATTGATTGGTCATCAATATGAATAATTTTTTGGCCTAATACCCTTCTGTTCCTCTACTTTCAAGGCCCTTTGTCTTATATTCTTGGGATCCCTGCTTTATATAGTCAGTTTTACATATATTTTTCTTCTAAATTACTTGTTCATTGTTACAGCAGTGATGTTTACAGTTTGAAACCTTACATATCTGTGTATGTGCAAAACAGTTTCTCAAATAATTCTCTTTAATGCTTACATAGTGATAACTGATATTGAAATGTGTTAGAGTTTGTTCTTTTCAGCTTACAACCTGAAAATTTTCTTTCACTGTACAGAGTGAAATTGATTTCATGTGATGCGTGATGCAGAGCAAGTTGTAGACAGACTTGAGAACTAACTGAAGCTCAGCTTCTGGCCTTCTATAACTCCTTTATATTTGGTTTGTTTCTGAACTCCCACTATAGTACAATAACTCTGTGCCTATCAGGTCTTCCTGCGTCATTGTGCCTCCTGTGTCAGACATGGAGGGACTGTGGGGCTGTCAGAGCATCTGGGCCTTCACATTTCCCATAAGTGTCAGTGAATGACCTGAAACCCAAAGAAACCCATCTGATTAACAAAGAATCTCTGCTATTAGCAGACAGAGGACTTATCATGCTTGTGGTGTACAGTTAGAAATGTTCTTCATGAGCAGCTGAAAACCTTTGGTATTTTTATGGAAATAAGGTTTACCTTTATGAAGTGGATATCCTTGGTTGAAAGCTCTGCATTTCTCAGTAACCCATGTGACTCCTACAGTGCTTTTGTGGGGACTACAGCATCCCTGTATTTCTGTACCAAAAGACCTCCCTGCTTGGGCCTTTGATGGCTTTGAGAAAATCTAACGTTTCTGCTTGGTCTGATGTAAAATGATGTAAAATGAATAGCTATTCCTCAGCTAGCAGGGCTGCTGACTCCTCCTGTCTTCTGTTTTACAGCCACAACTGGTCAGGCATGTTGACCAGGAAACTTAAATTTGTCCTAAGGAACACAAAGAGGACACTGACAAAAACAGCCTTTAAAGAAATGGGGAGCGTAAAGGAGGCTGAGATAAGTATTGAAGAGGAAGATATCTGAGAACGATAAAGAACTAGTGAGACTGGGATGGATATTCTGAAGTCAACCCCAGCAGAGAAGCCCACACCCTACAATTAGTTTCCTTACAGATAAGAGAAGTAGAATTACTACAGCCTCATAGCTTTTGCAGGTGGATTAATCCTGACCATCATTTTTGGTTGAAACCAGGCCCTGATTCATCGTGATATCACTTGTGTAATTTTGGAAAGAGAGTAAAGTTGGTGGGTAGTACCACTTCTTCATCAGTATTCCAGTCAATCAGAAATTGTAGAACAGGCTAAACACTTTGCAATAAATAGATTTGTTGTTGTTGTAGGAAACTCTGGTTTCATGAAGATCAGTACAATTCACAAGGAAGTGTTTTTCACAACAACAAAAAAAGATTTTTTTCCTCCCTCACAAATGCAAATTCTGAATCAAAATATTTTGGTTGCTGTATGTCAATTGAAGCTGGAACAGTTTCTTGTAAATTGACATTTCAGTGGCAAATGCTGTTTTAATGTTATCTTCAGACTGAAATGACAGTTTTGAAACTAAGCAGTTTGGTATGAATCAATATTTGTTTCCAAATGCCAAAATGTGATTCTGATCAAAATGTCAAAATATGTCATCTTTGCAATTCCAGTTCTAAACTGAAAGACCCTTTTTTTTTCTTGCTTTATACACACACCTATGTACTACATCTGAAGCATTTCATGCCCATCATCCCAAAGGAGGATGAAGAGAGAATGTCAAGGCATTGGAAAACTGAGATGCAGAGAATGATCTGCATTCCTTCAGCTGGGTGATAACAAGAGATCAATTTTCTTAACTTAAAAAGTGAGGCTGAGAGAAGGAAAAGTCCATCATTTAATCAATAAAAAAAGCCTGAAGCATCACACTCTTTTTGCTCCCCATTCTCTAAGTAGTTTCAAAGCCAACGGTGTTCAAAGTAAAATATCAGTGAGCAAAAGCAGGTTTTTGCCAAGGGCCAGCACTTAGCCTGTAGGCACTGCCGACAGAGCACTCTTCATCAGTGTCAAATGCTTTTGTTGTTGGCCACTTCTCTGTCCATTTTTCTTTACTTTCTTTCAGTATCTGGCTTCTAACAAACTTTATTAATGTCTCTCCTGCCAGTCTGCAGAGAACTGCAGATAGGGTAATTTAATCAGTATTGCCAACAGAAGGTGCTCATTGAAAACACCAAGACCTCCCTCAAGCCCAAGTTAAACCCTTCTCAACAGAAGACCCAGGACTTCTACCAGTTACATTATTCTCTTACATTATCTGTACTCTTACATTATTGAAGATATATTTATGAAAGGAAGCAAGCCAGACAGAAAAAGCTAAGCAAGTTACTGTCAGAGCAGCTAATTCACCATATTAAGTATAACACGTGCATTGTCAAAGTCATTCATGTTATAACTATTAGTGAAATAGGAGGAAACTTTATTCATGCTCTTCAAAATCCAGATTTTACTCTGTGGCATTGGTCTTTTTGGCAGTAACTGTTGGCTGTTTTGGTTGCAAGCTGGTATTCCAGGTGGGACACTGTGTCATAGCAGCCCTTTGACAGCTGTCTTCCAACTTCAGTTGTCCAGAAGGGCTGAGGTGAGCTTTCACCTTCTTCAATCTACTTGCCCATCCAGTCACAAATTCATAGAATCATAGAATCATAGAATTATAGAATGGCTTGGATTGAAAAGGACCACAATGCTCATCCAGTTCCAACCCCCTGCTATGTGCAGGGTCGCCAACCAGCAGACCAGGCTGCCCAGAGCCACATCCAGCCTGGCCTTGAATGCCTCCAGGGATGGGGCATCCACAGCTTCCTTGGGCAACCTGTTCCAGTGTGTCATGACCCTCTGTGAAAATTCATCCAGGAATAACATGCTGTGGAAGAGATGTAGGCCAAGCGTTATTTCAGTATACCTCAATACATACTTCCAGGGAAGGATATTATCTAGGTTGCTCAGTGCAAATTTGAGTTTAAAATCGGCTTATTATTTTTTCCATAATTTTCCCATGTTAAAAACATTCAGC